AAGGACACGACCCAGGAGGTGGGGTGGGGTGGGGTGGGTTGGGCTGGTCGATTCTCGTTCCCTGGGCGTATGGGTTGGAAAAATTCCCCGACTCTGAAAGTGTCAAAAGGTGTCAGAGGTGAAATTGAAGCATGGGAGCTTCTTTAGAGTCACATCCTTCAGGACTCAGGACCAGGTGACACGTGTTGCATCGGAGTTTGTCGGCGACAGGGGTTGGAAAACAGGGGAGCCCAGAAATCCAAGCCCCTTACCTCATCGAGAGTGTTCCCGGCGAGAAGTTCAGGAGAACAAGTCTGGGCCTTTTTGCAATTGGGTTGCACCTCGCGGTTCCTTGGCCGACCTGCCGCACAATGTTGGATCAATCTGGGGCATTAGCCGAGAACGTGGCGCCATTCCTCAAAAGGGAGATCACTTGTAAAGGACTGGCAGCTCGTAGTGCGGTGGATGAAGGTCAACCTCCTGCCTTCGAACGGGCCTCTCCCCTTGTGGTTTTGAAGGTATCTTCCGTGGAAGGTGGCAAGCGGGGGGTTCTGCAACCCTGGTGGAACATAGGCTGCGGCTTTGCATGGTGGCCCTGTTTGCAATCATGGCAGGCTATTTTTTTTTTTGGAAGACTGACATCATAGCCAAGCCTTGGAGAGAGGATACCTTTTGAGGCCATTTTGGGCACCCATGACACTCCCTCGGTCCGCTGTTGTGGGCATGTGCCAGCTTCTTGGTCGAGTGCAGGCAGGCCCGGGAGGCTGCCCGATAAGTCAATGGAGGAAGTCGACTTGGGGTGTCCGGTCCCGGCTTGGTAGCAAAGTGGAGGTGGTCGGTACATAACAAGTGTGGTGCGTTTTCTATCTATATATGTATATAGATACGTGTGTGTGTATATAAGCAGAGAATAAACATATGTTTATATATTTGTATACATATCTATATATATATATACATAATTATTTTTTGGGGGGAAGGGGCGCCAAGGGTGACTGCCCGTCCAAGCAAACCGACTTCGGAGGTGACGTTGAGCGCCTCCTCCATGGAGGTGACCAGCCCTGAGGGCCGGCACCTTTGGGCACGCGTGGGCGGGAGGACGGCCGTCGGAGCGTCGGATGCGGAGGTCGTCCCATGCCCCCGAAAAAGTCCAAGCCCAAAGTCATGGCCATGGGAAGGTGCAGGGTTTGTCCCATTTCAGAGGGATTCACACTTTGGCACAAGAGTTCATGCCTTCGCCGCCGTGAAAGTTTGACGTTTTGAAGGGCTGTCTGGTTAGACAGCTAGATCTTTTGAGGTAGGCGTAGCGCTTCAGCGCCTGGGGGGCGGGGAGGCCACTCCCAGCCCTGGGCCAAAGGGATTTGGTTGGGGTCTGAATATCATGCATGTGTGCAGCTTTCAAAACCATGATCAATCCAACGCCCATGAACTGGAGACATCACGGTTAAAATTCATGCATGCACGTAACGTGATCTCCATGCGTGCGAAGAATAAGCCCATATGTGGGTCAAAATTACACCAGCAGGGTCCAGGTTTTCCCTCCATTCCATTGGCCAAGAATTCCATGTTGGGTATCTATTGTTGACCGCCACATTCCAACCTGTGCCATGAAATCTCCTGGCAGGACGGAGGTTTGCGCGCTGGAGCTGCAGAGCGAGACCGGGCGGAAGGGGGTTGACCGGGAGGGCCGGGAGCCCAGCCAATTGCTTGGAGAGAGATTCGGTTTTGGAAGTCTGGGGCTTTGCTTTTGGTGTTTCTGAGAAAAGCAATCCCTTGCTTTTTCCTCTACAGTTTGGGTTTTCCTGATTTGGTCCGTTAGCCTTTTGGTTCCAAACGCTGATCATTTTCGATTTCCAGGTCCGAACTGCGCAAGTCAGCAACGGAAAGCGTCCAACCGCGCCGCGCCGAGTCGACGAGTCGTTGAGGTCTTTGGATCTTCGCCGGGGGCCGCTTCGCGCGCCTGGTGGGCCCCCGCAGAGGCCGGTTCATCGGTTCTCTGCTCTTTTCTTCCCCGGAAGTAGTTCCCCTTTCTTTTTTTTGGGGGTTCCCTTTGTTTTCCACTAACCATACAAAAAGTAAAGAACATCAAGTAAATGTTGTTGGCCAGCTCGCTCACAGATTCGGGGGCCCGAGCCAAAGCGCTTGCCATGAGGAAGGTCGGTTTGCTTGGGGATCCGATTCTTGATTCCGCTTTGGGAATATATGGTCGGTCAACACCAATGATACCATTTTGGGGTAGGTGCATCACCTATTTTACTCCATTTTAGTGGAGATTGGGATGTTCACTGGGGGTATATACGGGGTTTTGACCCATAGCCATACAGTAAAAATTGTAGATGGAATCGTAAAATCAGCTCATTTGGACTGTTTCTGCGAGGAACTGGGTTTGTCTCCCTTCAATCCACCACTTTGACTTTCAAAATGACCCAATCATGGGCTCAGATAAACCAGAGCTTGGGTTGGTCAAGTCGGTGTTGGGGTCCGCCAGTTGGGACACCAGTTGGTTGCTTAGCCAGTTGCTTAAATTAGTTGGTTGGTCAACCAGTTGGTCATCCAGTTGGTATTGGTATGTATTGGTCAATCGGTCGGTGGAAAGGTTTCAACATGTGTATATAAACAAGCTTTTCATAGTTGTTCCTTTGCCGCAATCGTGTAAACAAGTTTCATCGTGGTTGTTCCTTATCCTACCTTCAAGGGCTTGCGGTTTCGGAGTTTCGGGGTCCATTTTTTGCGGTTCTTCACCATGGATATTGGATGGATGGGGCAGAGGGGCAGTGGGTTAACCCCCATCCCCACCCCAGAGGTTCCCTCGTCCATGGGAAACCATGGGGAGGTTAAAAAAGGACCCGTGAGGTTCCATGTATGTGGAGAGGGTAGTGCACGTGTTTTTTTTGGCAAACCTCAGTTTACACCTGTGTATATATATATATATATGTACATCGGTCACCTGCTTAACCTGCAACTGTTTTGGTTCTCAAGTATTTCCCCTGCAAAAAGGGGGGATTTTGACTCTTCTATTTACGAATGTAGGGCTGTTCCCCTCTTAAAGTGTTGAATGCCTATCAGGGACACCCCCATAGTAGTAAATAGGAACTGATTAACAGGGCCCTTTTTCCTCCAAAAAGTGGGCAGTTTCAATGGAACCCACCAGGAAATTCATCAACTGCTCAAGAAAATCTAGTGACCCTGCCAAACCACACTGGTTGGGTTTGTCCCAAAGGACTTGGAATTTCCAAGAGGTTTCTCTTTGAAGCCATCCCAAAAAGGGGCGAATTTCTCGGAAACCGTGAAACACTTTTTGCAGCGAGGTCAAACAGCAGCCAATTGGCAGTTTCAATGGCGCCCATCAATAAATTCATCAATTTGGGGGGGGGGGGAATCCAGTGACCATGGGCGTTATTTTTTAGGTTCGTTTGATTAGACATAGATGGCATTGGTTCACCTGGTTGCTTCGTCTCCTAGCAACAAAAACTCCAAATCTGTTTTACTACAATCATGGGGGCTCGGGGGGAGGGAGGGGGGGGGGAGCCCAAATAAGCCCTAAATAAGGCCTTATTAAGGGCTTATTTGGGCTCCCTCCCTCCCTCCCCCCCCAGCCCCCATGATACAAGGTCACCTATGCCACCCCTCCGGGACCCAACGAGCACCCGGCAAACCGGGCAGGCGAGGGCCTCATCGCCGGCAGCTGCTGCCGCTCCTTGCGCCAGCTGCGCCAGCTCCGGGGCAAGGCGCAGCCACGCCGTCGGACGGACGGAAGGTCGCCGACGTCGGCGCTCGGTCGGGATGTGTTTGACCCGTTTTCTTCTTCTTCTTCTTCTTCTTTTTGTTTTTTCCTTTTTGTTTCTCTGTTTTTTGTTTCTCGAGTTTCGTTGTTCTTGGTCCTGCGGTGCTGCCGTTTTTTTTTCTCGTTTGTTTCCACGTTCTGTTGGTGTCTCTTTTTTTAATGGTTGATTATTCATTATTTTCTTTTTTTTTTTGGGGGGGGGAGGGGAGGTTTGGCGGATCCAGTGTTTTTTTCCCCGTTTTTTTTTTTTTTTACTAGGGCTGGTCCCCTGCTTGTTTGGTTGGTTGGTTGGTTGGTTGGTTGGTTGGTTGGTTGGCTGGCCGCATCCCCAGCATCACCAGCCTCACTTGGCCCTGGGGTTGCCTTTTGGCTCTGATTTCATGGCAGTTGGGAGTTGCTGCGGGCTGGTTTAAGTTGGGGGGGCTGCTGTTGGGCGGGTTGAAGGTTGACTTTGAGTGGGTTTGGGTTGGCTTGAAACTGATTTGTGTTAGGTGTGCTGCTGGTTTAGCAGCGGCTTTAGGGTTGCTTTAGGTGTGGTTAAGTGAGATTTGGTCTCGTTTAGGGTCGGTTGTGGAGCGTTGCCCCAAACCACCAAAACTAAACCGCGCCAAGAAACTATGGCCATGGCCCTGACTTGTTCAGAGTTGCTTGACTTCGACTTGCCAAAGCAATGTCATTGCCACAAAAGGACCCCAACAGAACAGCCTTCTCCTTGCTTTCGCTCCTGACCTAGAATCAGTTTCCCCTTTGTAGGCATGAGCTGTACTCAGTAGAGCTGTTTCTAGCCACCGCTGAGGGAAAAGCGTGAGAGAGTGTCCGAGGTCCATCACAGGAAGAAGAAGAAGCGGGTCAATTATATACACTAATTCGATTTCCACAAAGGCCAGCCCGGGTCCAGCCGTCCTCACGCACGCCGCCAGGAGCCGCGTGGACGTCTGAAGCGTCGGGCCACTACCAACTCACTGAAAGGCAGCAAAGCGATACGCGAGCACAGATCCCACGAACTTTCTTTCAGGAAGGCAAATGCACGGCATCGCGCAGTGAGACCAATTCCCATCAAAGTAAGCAGCGTGCCAATTCCCCAAAGCCGAGAAAGCCAAAGGCCAAGCCATTTTCTATTCATAGCAAGCCATCTGCTGTGCGAACCAGGTACGCCGTGCAGGAGATTCCCGCCGAAGGTGAGTATGAGGGTAGAGACATTGTGCCGTGTAGCGCTAAGGATTGCCCGCGGCCCTTAGAGGGGACCAATAAAGCAGCGCGCAAAGTCACAGAGCAACTCCACGCCGTGGTAGACGCAATGGACGGCGATGCCCAGCCCGAGGGTGCTCCATCTCCATTTTGGAGTTTCTATGAAGACACTTATGGAGACACTGCGGAATGATTCGGTTCCTACCAACAGTTTGGTGTCAACCATGGCTTCCTCTTTGGTGCGCGATGGATTTTGTCCCATCCGCAGTATCTGAGTTGGCTGTCAAGTGCTGCCACGCCAGCGCGAGACAGCCGCAAGGGGGACCGCAAGTCCTGCTCCCCAAGCACCGATCAAGCCACTTCGAGAGGCACTTGTAGTTGCGCTACGGTCTAACCGTTTCTTTTGAACCAGAATTGAGGAATCGCCGAGTCAAAGATCTTTAGCCTGGGTGAGCTCATTGCAACTTGTAAAGGACGTGTTCTAATATGCACAGGAAAATGCACACACCCACACACACACATATATATATATATCCATATTTGACTATATATATATATATATATATAGACACAGCCCGGCCACAGCCCAGGCATATTTTTATAGTGTACAATATGTATTGGTGTATGTGTAAACTGTTTGCCTATGTTTCCAGCATGAAGATAGCACAGAGGCTTCGCTGTGAAGCTTGCGGGCCCAAAGCAATTTTCAAGGGGGTGGGCTTCGTCACAACGCTTCCACTTCGAAAGGCCGCTGGGACCAACCACGTCTCTGAGGTGCCCTGATGCTTTTATGTGCCTGCTCCATGTCTTCATTGTGTGTGTGTTGGCTGTGGCACATTGCAGGGCGCCTACCAACGACCCTCCATTCTGCCAGTAAATCGGCCACATTGAACCCTGACGTGGCAAGCTGAAAGTGCCGCAGTTAGGATAACTTGGGGCTCAACCAGTTCGCTTGCCATGGGCAACAAATGTAATGAGCGCCATGGTTGGGCCCTTGCAGCCCCCAAGTTGTTTTTCCTTCAGGCGGTCGACGCCGAGCTGCGCAGGGACTTTGAGGCCTGGATTTCATGCCATCGGAACCCAAGATGTATCAACCAGTTTAGGGGGCGTCCCTGGGTTTGGTACGGTGTCCATGGGCTGTCCCTTCTTTTGTGTGGGGTTTCATCACTTTTGGAGGGGAACCCCCCTCTCGAATAGGATGGGTTTATTAATCCGGGGTCAGAATTCCTTTGGGAACCCCCTTGAGTCTTTGGTAACGTCTTCAAGCCACAGGTCAAAGCACCCTTCCCTTTTGAGGGAAACCCAAGTTTCAAGAGTTTGGCGGTTCAATCGTGTTTGAGGAACTGGCCAAACCACCCTTTCATTGGGGAATTCCTGCAGTGCTGGATTTGCGCCGCTGTCAAGGGTGCCCATTGAGGGAACCACTGGACCATCCCTCTCAGGCAAGAATGTCGTATGCAAGGGGGGCCTTAGATGCTCCTTCTTTCTAGGAAACGGTTTGGAGGCGGTTTTTGTGGATCCACCATTGTAGGATAGCAAAACAACATGGGGAACCACAGAAAGCGCATCCAATCCGTTTGCTGGATTCTTGGGTGCTTTAAACCTTCATTCAGTTGCCAAGGTGAAGAGAAGCTTCCTGTAACCTGGTGTACCGTGTTATACTAGGATGACCTTGCAAGGCCCAAGGTGTAAAGGCCACTAGTGAAACCAGGTTTAGGAGAATTCCCAATAAACAAGTACTAGAGAGGATTCTAGCAGACAGCTTGTGATAAGGCAGGATGCCAAGAGAAGAATAGCGAGATTCTGCAAATGGCGGTGTTTCCTGTTGGTTTCCCTTTAAGCCAGGCTGAAAAGGTGCCGAGCCTCAACACGAAGATGCACCCAAACAGAAAGACCCCCAAAGTTCTTGGAGTCTGGACATTTCGTCGCACGGATGGGGAACCGAAATTCCATTCGCCAGCTCTGGGGGTGTTATCCGGGGGGGGGGGGGGCGAGCCGAGGGCTTTAACATGAGTGCCCCATGTACGAGGGGGATCCGGGTCACTTGTGGGAGCACCACTTGCCGTGCACAGCAGCCCCCGTGTTTCAACTTTTGGGATGAAACTCGAAGGCCGTTTTGAGTCCCACCAGCAAGGAGCTGGGAAGTGCACAGCTTTCTTTTGAGCTTGACGATTCCCTAGAACCGCGCGCACTTCCATGGGATTGGCCCAAAGATGCCCCGGTTCCCTTCTTGTGGGAGTGTTTAGGGAAAACCAAAAGGACATCCACACAAAATGGTGGTTGTCCAGCTGCAAACACAGAGGAGCCACCCATAGGGGAGTTTCTCAAAGCTTGTTGGCTCCCAGCCATCCCCTTAGCTTTTTAGCCTTTTAGTGTTTAGTGATAGTCTCCATTTAACCCACTAAAAGTTAAGCTTTTAGCGGGGGATCTGAGGGCAGCCCAGAAAATTGACCCTCTGTTGGTTGGCGTTTTCAAGGGAAAGCCGCAATTTTGGGGGTCCAAACTGGGGCTCTTGAAGGCAACTTCCGGCACTGTGGAGGCGGGTGAAAGGGGGGGGGGTTGGGGGGCGGGTTCCAAGAAGAGTTCAGCATTTTGACACATGAATCTCATATTGGTCTGTGTGTTTTAGGACCCACCAAAATGGAATTCTGTTTTCCTTTTGGGTTTTCCCTGTAAAACCCACGAAATGGATTTCTGTTTTCTTTTTTGGGTTTTCCCTTCAACACCAACCCGCAAAAGGGATACCACACCCATATCTTCTTGTGTGGCGGCCAAATTTGTATGGCTCCATGTTAGTTTGCAGGGGAGCGTTGGGGCAACCAGTTGATTACCTCACTGGACTGGGGTAGGCTTAAGATGCATTTTACATTTTACCAGTGACTCTATGACTGAGCCTAACTCTAATCATGTGGAGTCAAACGATTTGAGCAAGCTTGCTCTCTTTGGGGTCCCCTCATGATTCGCCCAAGTATGTAGCTGATGACTCCCCCCTGGAAACCACTCTCCTTGTTGTAGGGTACATGTTGAAGAGCCAGGTGTTCCAAGATAAATACCTGTCTTTTGGTCAGGGGGCTGGCATCGTACTGTAAAACGAGGGACGTTAGAAGGGGATGCCAGTCAGAGCCCAGGACTAATGGAGTAAGCCATGAGATTGCTCCACGTTGCCCCTGTGGGCGGAAAGCATCCTGCACCGGTTGGGGTTGGTGGCTTAGCCCAATATTTTTAGGGTTTCATCCATCCAAACTAATGTACAGTAATGTTGACCCCATATTCATCAACCCCAGTATGTTGATAGGGGGGCTGCGACCTCGATCATGAAGGTTCCTTTCTTGCGGAGGTTCTCTTACTTTCGGTCGGTGAGTTCGCAGGTAGCCTTGTCCAACAGTTGGCCCCGCCAAAATGCCAATTGGACACCGAACGTGTGCTTCGAGAAGCCACTTGCCATCCTCGCATGATGTTCGCCGGAGCTTGCCAGCACCTGACTCGGACTTTTCTTCTCATTTCATGGGATGCCTGGGTGGCGTGGCCGCCTGCTTGAGGATGGCGGCCAATGGCTGGAATCTACCATGGGTTGCTTGGGCCCGGGTGCTAGGTCACTGCAGTCTGACATGGCTGGCTGGGGTCCAAGTCACGGTAATTTTTCATATCTAGCCTCTAAGCGACCCTCCCCTGGCCAAGTGCTTATTCACAGGAAGCCAGGGGTCTTTTCGTTTTCCATTGTTTTGGGGGGATTGAATCTGTTAATTACTCTGGGAGTGCCTGGACTTGGTACTTTTTGGGACGACCCCTACTTGAGTGGCAAAACAAGCAGTTGGACTTTTTTGGGTCACCCAGAGAGAGAGAGAGAGAGAGAGAGCGAGAGAGAGAGAGAGAGGGAGGGAGGGAGAGAGAGAGAGAGAGAGAGAGCGGGAGGGAGAGAGAGAGAGAGAGAGAGAGAGAGCGGGAGGGAGAGAGAGAGCGAGGGAGAGGGAGAGGGAGAGGGAGAGGGAGAGAACGAGAGAGTGAGTTTGAAGTTTTGAGCAGAAGTTTAATGTCATCTTGCTCCCCGTCAGGAGCCAGGCCAGCTGCGCATCCTGAAGATGGCGCACAGCCCGAAGAGCGCGAATACCATGCTCTATGACGCTTTGATTGGACCAGGGGGATGACTACCATTACTTTGGGAAATGGGGGCTCACAAGAATCTACTGCAGCCACCAAATCTTGACTGGCTCATCTGAAAATAGGATGGAACATTGTCTAAGGTTTCCCTTTGGCTTTCGTTGGCATATGGAGTGCCCTTATGTGGCTCTGGCAGGGTCTACTCATCGTCTTTTGGTATATGGAGTGCTCTTCTGCTTCCAGGGTCAGTTCAAGAACCCTCATATGGTTAGAAGGTTGCTTCGGCCTTGCGCCACAAGGACTCCGGCGATGCCGAGACGGGCACCGTGCGTTGCGGCCCGGACACCGTGGTCTTCGAGCGTGGCGGTCGGAGGGAGACCTGGAAGATCGCGCCTCGGCGAGTGCTGCGAGTCGAGCCTGCGAGCCGGGCCGCGGGTTTCCAGCGACTGCCGGGAAAGAAGTTCCATGTCTCCACTGTTCTTGGCACGTTTATCATGTATATATATATATATGTGTGTTTTTTTTTGTTTGATCTGTTCCTTGTTTTGGTTTCTATTCCTTGATGCGCTGCTTCAGCGCTGTCCGGGATACACTTTGGCCGCAACCTGGCTGATTCAAGGTGCATGTGTTGTTTCTGTACCTGCCAGTGCCAGTGCCTTTCGCGTGGCACGGTGGAGTGTGGATGGCGACCCAGCGGCCCCCAAGTTTGTCTGGCGTGCGCCGTGAACGAATTCTGCGGGGGGACATGCCGTGCGGTGCTGAATCATGGGGCCCGCAGGAGATGACCGTTGAATGGGGGTGGGCTGGAAATCACCAACTTGAGGGCCGAAACTGGCCTTCCGAAAAAGGCCAACAGAGACACTTGTCTTTTGGCTTTTTGAATGGCTCAAATTCTTTCCGGTGCTCAGTATGGAAGGGGCTTCCGGGTTTTGGGAATGAACCTAGGCACTCCCTGAAAGGGCACCAGATCGGGGATAGTTTATCTCGTGGTCATTCCATTTCTCGTTCCCGTATCGAACCAGCCATGTCTTTTCCCCCTCGCCCATAGAACATTCCAATCTCCAACTCATTCGTTTTCAGTCCGAGGGCTTCGGATCGGAGCGGCTGGGGGTTGTCAACATCTGGCCTTTTTGTCGGACCTCGTGTTTTTAGGCGGGCACATCAACCATGGCCCAAGAGGGGCCTGGTTCCCCATTTTCGTCAAGCCGCCATACTGTGGATGGTTGCGAACTCCATTTCGCACCGTTCAGAAACCGCGCGTTTTTCTGATTCGAGTCTCCAAGGCAAGTACCCAACGAACAGTTTAGTTTCACCCATGGTGTCATTTCGTGGTGCGAGAAGCGGATTTTGCAACCACAGCTTTGATGGACAGACCTATGGTTCCCCTGTAAAACCAGGTGCCAACTCCAAGAAAGGACAGACCATTCGCAGCTATGATTTGCCGATTTGCCCCTTTTGTTTTCCCATGTCCTTGTAGGACTGTTCCCCCCCCCAAAAAAAGAACATGTTTTCCAATGTCCTTGTAGGACTGTTCCCTCCCCCAAAAAAAGAGAAGAAAGAGAAAGGGGTACCAACTCCAAGAAAGAACCAAAACACCCAAAATGAGTGTTTTCCTCGGTGTTTCCCTTATAACACCACCAAAAAGCAAAAAAGATCAACAAATCCCATGTCCTTGTAGGACTGTTCCCCCCCCCCCCCCAAAAAAAAAAAAAAAAAAAAGAACAATAATAAGACAAAATACGGGGTACCAACTCCTGAAAAATGGAGCGACCCATCATGGAGCTCCGAGGTGGACTGGAGCTTCAACCCGTTCGAGCGATCCCGATGCGTGTCCCCGGTGCCCTCGGCCGCCTCCAAGGCGATCGATCGGCTTTTTCTCGGTGGGGCGGGGCTTTTTGTTGGTCTGACGATCGTTTTTTGGTTTTTGTTTTTGCTTTTGCTGGGAGGGGCGCTGTTTTTTTTTGGACTGACCTCGGATGCTTCGGGGAAAAAAAAAAAAAAACAAGCCCCTCAGGTCCAGGAGGTCTCCTGGAGTTCAGTCACTTTTGGGGTTTGGGCCAGCTTTAGTTCTAAGAAGTTCTCCCACTCCTTTGGGGAAGTTCCACTCAGGAACTAATGCTGAGAGATGGGGAGCAACCCCTTTTAGTGGTTGAATCAGGATCACTTTTGTGACATAGGCCGGGGCTCAATCCGGTGAGGACCATGAACCCTTGGGCTGATGTCCTATCAGGCCACAATTTGCTGGGGGTTCATACTTAGGCCTTCATACCAAGGGGTTGGTACCAAAGGGTTCGTATGTGGACGTATACGTTCAGCCTTTGATTTGGGTTTCCATTCTTTGGGTTTCACATTGTTGGGTTGTTATTGTGGTCTTCCTGGTTTTGCGCCCGTGGACATCTTGGGTTCCGATTCTTTCCCTCTGCAAAGTTGCGTGTCTCGGGCTTCAAAGCTGCCATACCATGAAGCGCGAGCCAGGGCGATTCAGAAGTCATTGTCCGGTCCACCCCTTCTTGTGCAACGAGCGAGTGCACAGAGCTGTTTTCTTGGAAAGGGTGCAGCTGTGAACTTTATGTCCCCCGCCCTCCCGGATTTGCCAACCAGACTCGCCAGGATTGCAAGCCACAGGGTCAATTCTCGCTTCGACAAGTGGCTATATGGTGCTTTATGCGTCCCATTTCTCTGGCGGTGGCTCGGAAGTAGAAAGCCTTTTTAGATTGATTTAGGAAATCAGATCCGCAAACAGCATGGGTAGCCCAGCACTAGCATCATGCAACGGGAAAGTCATTTTGCGGCCTAAGGGGTGTGTCGCCCAATTTTGTTCTGCCACAAGCACATGTCACATAGCCGGCAAAGGAGCCATGACGTCGGCCGCAACATGAGTCTAGAAAACGGTTTGGACGTGGTCTTCGTGGATCTACCCCTATAGGATACTAACAGAGTACTAACAGACAACTCAAAAAGGACCATCAGCGGGAAGGACTTTTGTGAGATCCACAAAAAGCGCGTCTCCAAAGCTTTTGCGACATCCACAAAAAGCGCATCTCCCCAGCGTTTTCTGGAGTAGATGAGTTTCGGCTTCTCTTGCAGGTTGTCATCGTGCGGCATGGGCGGTTTATTCATGGCATGCGCGGGCCAGGCCACCTCGATCGCCCCGGACTCGGAAGAGCCGGCGGCCACTTCCCTGGCAGACGAGGCTCGGAGAAGCGGTGGATTGGGTGAGGCCTAAGGAGCGCCCAAGGGGCATAAAACGGGGCCCATGAAGGTCAATTGCCCACTCGCCGAAAAAGCGAAGATCCACCTTTTAACCTTTGGGTTTCCGTGATTTGATCCACATTTAGTCAAGGTTCCAAAAGGTTGGCCTTTGATGGAAGCTCCCATTTTGGGAGTTGCTTCCTCTTCGGGGGATCTCGACCGGTGCGCCTGCCGGCTTTCGTTCTCGCAAGGGCCAGAAGGGACAGAGTGGGGCCTCTTCTCTCAATGCGTCGCAAGGAAACTTCACCTGTCCAAATTGGGGAAATCCCAGAGCAATGTCGGGGATATCCCACACCCTGATCAGGATCTTTTGAGGTAATGTTGACCCCATATTAATAAACGGGGGAACATTAATCCGGGGTCCCTCATTTTCGCCCAACACTGTCCTATTGCGGTGAGGGGGTGGGGGGTGGGGGGGTTGGGCACATCGCTTTGAAGAGGCCCGGCAACATCAAATTTTCCGCTTTCTTTGAGCTTTCCCCAACAGCTGCGAGCTTCCCAGATAGGCTTTGGGGTCAGCATGTTGCGAGGCTGTTGGGATCCCAGCTGGGCTTAGTTGTTTTCATTTTTGCAGGTTTGCAGGGCCAAAGTCTGTCCAGGACGACGAGGTTGCGGAGCTGGCAGAGGTCGAGGCGGAGGTGGAGGCGGAGGTGGAGGCGGAGGTGGAGGCGGAGGTGGAGGCGGAGGCGGAGCACGAGCTGACGGATGTTGGCGAAGCATCCGAAGAGGCGCCAGCCGAAGCCACGCTCAGTTTTGGATCTCACAAGAAATAATGGGAAGTTGTGGTGGAATTGGAATCAGCTGTTTCCCCTTGATTAGTGAGAGAGAGGGAGAGAGAGGGGACTGGGAGTTGTGCCATGGCAGGATCCACAGTCAGGCGGAGACAGCTTGAGTGCCCAAAGGTAGTGGGTAGGATTCTGTTTCGAATTGTTTCGAATTCGCCAGCTGCACCTCCACTGTTCCAACAATCCACGCGCAGTCAGCGGCCATGACGGTGACGTGAAGCTTTCACAAGGGCAGCTTCTGTCGAGATTTGCATTTTTTCGCCCAGGGGCGCTTGTTTTGATTCTTTTTCCAACAGCCATTTGGGTCTGTCGTTTTTTGAGGGTACCCCTTGTTCGGCGGCTTCAACGTGAAACCAACGGAAAAACACTAACCTTGAAAAGGACGCAGTCAATTCTGAAGTCGCTGCGAGCCATGGCTCTCTTGAGGAGGTCATCGAGCCCAAGGCCGAAGTCGAGAAGAAGAAAAGCTGCCCGGCGGAAAATTCGGAGCGCGCGGATTCCAGGGGAAGACCCGAAGGCAACGGCCGGGAGTCTCTACGGATATATGAGGATCGACCAAAACCCCCCCATGGATTTTTTTGTAGGGACTGAATACGATAAGGAATATTGGACAACCCTCATATATATATATATATATATTATATTTGTATATTTCTGAGCAGTTCAGAGGTGAGTCTCAGTGCTGGCACCCGAGAGTTAGCACCCAGGCACCATATTCGAGGTGAGCGGCTTGCGGAAAACAACTGGCCTGGTGGAAGGGTGCCAACCAGCCAGTGTTGTTGTATTCACACCCCTTCACATTCGCCCAGTTTGGTCCGGCGGGCACCCACAACTCGGCAGTGATGTGCAGGGTTTCGCGTGGAGGTCGGAAGATTTCAAAATGTCCCGTCTTTTCTCCCCGAAGTGATTGTCATCATAACGTTGTGGCTCGCTGAACAAACATTGTTTGAGGTGATGCCTAATCAGAAACACATGGGAACCGCAGAACCGCCAGACCACCACATCCTTCCGCGTTGACTTTCCCATGGCGGGACGCAATGCCCAGCGACTAGCCAGGTACTGCTGAAACAGCGCTCCTTCTTGCTGATCCTTGTTATCAGCCCCTCCCCCCCAAAGAACATATAATCATGAAGCAGACATTGTCAGCCGCGCCGCGGCTGACATTGTCAGCCGCGGCTGTCTTTTCTCGCAGTCGCTCACTGCTACCGTATCGCCTGCAGCTAGTGCACCCTTAATGGCAACATGTCCCGGACGGCTTGCCGTAGCACCCGCATTCTTCTTAGAGCTTTTTTTTCCAATCTCCAGTTGCCAAGCGCCAGCCCTCAAGCGGAGCCACGTGCTCAAAACCCGGTAGATGAAGGAACATGTAAGGGACAATCCCCTTGCCAGAAATAGCTGCGGATATCCGCCTTCTTAATTCTTGAAGTATGGTTCTAGGTCGACCATTTTAGTAACGGGTTTTGCTTGTTGACCCCGGATTAATAAATAATATGGGGGGTGCCTTTCCCTGGTTTTAGTGAGGATTCAGACCACTTTTGGAGGGGAAAGCACCCCCATGTTTTCATAAACAGGGGTTTGGAGCAAGTGACTCACCTCAGGAAAAAAGGAAGTGGAAGACGGCGCGGAGGCGCAGGTTCATGGCAGTACCTCCGTTGTCCAGTGGATTCCGCCCCCCCTTTTTGCGCCTTAGCCCCACCACCTGAGGCAAAGTCGTTGCTTGACGGGCCCGAAGAAAGCGATTTTTACCTACCAGTGTCCAGCCCCCTCAGGGGAGGTGCAAAACCGCCGCTTGGCCTGGTGTTGTGCTTTCGCTGACGCACAGGAGGTGAAGAAGAAGAAAAAGAAGAAGAAGAAGGCCGAGTCTGGCCTGGTTGCGGGCAAAGGGTCCTAAAGAAACGCCAACCCAGTTAGGAGGTGGCGGATCCTCGATTTTCCCATTGCAGTTTGGTGGGTTCCCTGCTAGGTCCCCCAGTAGTGCCCTTTTACCTTTTTTTTGGGAGGGTTCCCCTGCTAAAATAGACCAGAAAAAAGGGTACCCTTATTTGTAACCTCTCTGCTAGCAGGAACTAGCCTGTCTAACATGGTCAACTTGACCATGCTACGAGTCCGGCCAGCCGGGGAGGTAGGAAGCGATTGCTTTGATTCATGGCCCTTGCCTGTGAGGAGAAGGAAGCTAAGAAAGCCAAGGCAAAGGCCAAGGAAGAGGTAGAGGAAGAGGTGGAAGAGGCGGAAGAGGTGGAGGAAGAGGTGGAGGAGGTGGAGGAGGAGCAAGAGGCCAACGGAAAGGACTGCACTGCATTTGTTTCGAAAGTCTGTCCAGCCGTCTGGCCCCCGCCGTGATGGGCTGGTTTGTCAGTTGCCATGGCGGCTTTAGCATTCGACCGTAGGCGCACAAGCGCAAGAAGGAGAAGAAGGACAAGAAGGAGAAGAAGGAGAAGAAAGACAAGAAGGCGAAGAAGAAGAAGGCAAAGGAACCTTCAGAAGCAGAGATTGAGCAAGAGGAGGAGTGACGATCGTCGCAGAGTTGAGGTGGGTTATATCTATATAGTTATATCAAGAGCATGTGACGGAGATTTGACACTTCTCTCGGCATCCGTGTTGCTGCCGTTTGAGTACGCCTTTCCATCTTGAGTTGTTTGTAGGTATGTAGGGGTGATTTGTCTTGTCCTAGAAATCTGCTCTCCCCGACTGTTCTACGCCCACTGTGCTGTTCCCATGTTGGTTCACGCGCGCCGGCTTTCACTCAATGGGGTCTTGGCCGGTATGGGATCTGTTTTTATTTTTCTTTTTTGCACGCTCAGCCATGCAATCAACAGTGGATCCTGGCAGCCATCCCCAGGGGATGTTTCGCAAGGAGGCTGAGGCAGAAGTCGAGGAGGCTCGGGAAGAGGAGTCGGAGGAGGCTCGCACATGGGAACTACGCGTAGAGGTCGTACTTTCTTAACTTTTTGGGAAACAGTGGATTTGCCATCGGACCCACAAACAGCTGACACTTTTTGCAGAAGGGTCAACAGCAACGAAGCTTTTTGGATCTTTCTTTGCAGAAGATTGTCCAAGCGGGGACCATGGGTGGTTTCTGAAGAGAGACTGGGGAATCAAATCTGGGAGCCCTATAAGTACGCGAGGGAAACCGATGCTAGTTTTGAGTCTGCAAGCCTGCATGCACCCACCGCCTGATTCGCACGCATACCTGTAGCGTACATGAGTTTCTCGCCTTTGCCTATATCCAATCTCTCTCTCTCTCTCTCTCGCTCTCCCTCTCCTTCATTTGCAGGAAGCCAAAAGGAATGCCACGGATTTTGTTCGCCTATTTTGACCCATGACAATCTCTTGGGCTGGGCAGTGTCCGAGTTCAGACTTCAAGTGGGCGCTGCGTGTCTTTCGTTTTGGTGGGGTACCCTCCCAAAAATGGTTTAACCCCCTTATTTTGCTTGAACCACCTTGTGTGTGTGTGTGTTTTTTTTTTGTTTTTTTTTTTTTTTTGGGGGGGGTTAAACCAAGCATGTTTAACTTTTGTTCTTCTTTTTTTTTTCCGGTGGGTTAACCACCAATAAGCACCTTGTTGTTTGGTGGGTTAACCACGCAGAAAAAAAGGTTAACGCCCTGGTTTTAGTGGGTCATCCACATAAAATGGGTTGGCACAAAAATGGTTAACTCCCTTGGTTTTTTGGTGGGTTACCGGGGGTTAACCCCAAAGCATTTAACACTTTATTTTGCGGGGTTACCCCCACAAATTGCTACACACAAACATGTGAACCCCCTCGTTTCTTGGTGGGGCAACGCCAACAATGGTTAACCCCCTTTACTTTGGTGGGTTGATGTGAGGAAGGGTGCGGATGTGGCCCCATTCTGTTGGACAGGCGCGTTTTTCAAGGGAATCGCAAAAGCCTTTCCCTCTCCGCAAATCCTTCAGACCAGCTTTGGGAGAATCAGCCTGAGAATGCGTCCGGTCAAGGAAAAGCCCAGTTTTTGCCCTCCACCCAAGCGCGGGGATACCCGGTGCCTGGATACACTGGCTGCCGGTTCCTTTTTCGGGGATCTCCTTGTTTCCGTGATCCGGTTGCTCCAAAACTGTCTCTCCGAAGAGGCTTTCAGTTTTCAAACCTTTTGCTGCCAGGCTTCTTCATGATTTTAGCGCATTGACAGTTGGGACTTTTCTAGTCCAGCGGTGTCAGGTCAAGAGCAAAGCCGATTGTGGTATTTACACGGTGGTTTGAATGGATGTTAATTCGGTTGGCTAGACCAAGCAGCTGTGGTGGTCGGCGCTCGCAAACAAGATCACAGGCCATCCATTCAAGTTCAAGTACTTGTGGTTCTTCACACATCTCAAGACAAGTGCAAGGTGAAGCCGACTGGTCGGGGTCTGAGACCCCAAAAAAAGATTGCCTAAGTTGCGTGAGGTCCTGGTTGCCGTGGACCAGCGATGCAGGGCTTATCATGGTTGCCTTATTCCAGCAGTTCCCTATTGCCTTGGACAGCTGTTGGCCGAGCTTTGGGTGCCGCAGCCCCCCATGACAGCCTTGGCAACTTGCAGCCCTTTGGTGAGCCAGCTTCAACACAAAGTTTGCACGTTGATTTGGAGAGTTTGTGGGGATGACCAACGTCCCCAAAATGTAAATGTCAACAGCTGCAATCATTCAAGGGCTTTGCCTCAATGCAAGATGCGCCGTTGCCCCTTGAACAGCGCACACGTGGATTCTTTTTCCTGCCAGGTGCGTGCCGCCCTTATCGCAGAATGGTGCTTGTTACCTTTACTAGGTCCCCAGTAGTGCCCTTTTACCCTTTTTTGGGGGAGGGTTCCCGTACTAAAATAGACTACAGAAAAAAGGGTACCCTTATTCTAAGCTCTCTACTGGAGGACCTAGTTTATTTTCCATTCGCTGTTGCTTCTTTTTCCCCATGCAAAGCCGAAACCGGTCGCGGCGTGTCTTTTTTCGCGAATGCGGTGGTGCAGGTGCCGGAGCCTCCCCGCAGGAAGGCAGGAATGGCGACGGGACCAGCAGTGGCGGTGGCTCTTAACAGTGTGACGAACGATTAGCTGCGAGGAAAAAAGTTCCAGTGGTTTTGGCCCTGAAAAGTTGGTTGGCAATAGGCCCCCTCCCCACTGGCATTGATCCCCCGGTCACCGGTATGTCACGTTTTTTGTTGCCCCAGTTTAGTAGCTTGGCTCCCCTCTACACATGGTAAAACGGAAAAAGGGTCCTTCTTCTGGCAAACAGGTGGGCAACGGTGCTGACACTTTGTACACTGAAACGTGCCGGTTATGTCTCGTGGCTCTGTCAGCGTGCAAAACTGAGCCGTGAATTCTCTGCCTATTTTATGGCGAGCTCACCTCGGGGTATAAGGAGCTCACCATGATAAGTCCTTTTTTTGTTTCTTGGACATCCCTTAATTCAGGTTAATGTCCGGGAAATTTGCGGAATCCTCATACCAGTGTGGCAGTGGTGCTTTTCTACGGATGACGAGTTGGGATCGAGCGACCCAGATCTCCTGCCCTGGTTGGCCGCCAGTTCCAGGATTCTTGCCGGGGTGACGAGCCAAGGAGAAAAATAGGTGTCCTTTTTGGTTGGGTTGCTTAAATAGAGGGGTTCCCCTGGATTAGATGGGGTTTATGCCCCATTTACCAGGGAAACCCATCGATTTTTCCAAAAGGCCGCCTATGATTGTCAAACCCTGACAGATAGCACTCATACATCAGAAAATGGTACACGGTGGTCAAGCTAACGCGCACAAACGAGATGCATCTTGCAGCAAGATGCACCATTGGCGCAGCCACGACGCATCACTGACGCGGCACGCAGCACCGCAACGAATGTTTCGGCTTCCTGGGCCAGGTCTATTCGACCAGGCGTGTCAGGATTCAACCCTCCTCTCTTCAACCCCTGTCCCATGTTTACCCCCACAACCACAGCAAACGTGACGGGCCTAAGGAAACCCGGGGTGACAAAGATATGGCTGTGGGTCAAAATTTTGTCCCGTGCTCGGTCGGTGTGGCGATTTTCCCAGGCGGAGCTGAAGCGGAAGGCCAAAAGCCCCTCAGAGGCTGAGGCGTGTGGCAAGCTGGAAGTGCGCCAGAGCAACAGCAACAACACAAGCAAAACAACGCCACCCTTTGCAATTCTGGCGGTTCTTTATCCCAGGCACGGGATCCTTGTTTTTTTGCGGGTTGGTCACGTGCTAATGTTGACCTCGGATCAATACTCCCCTCCTAATAATAGGGGGGGTGGGGGTCCCCTTCAAAGTGATAAATCCCCACTAAGCAGGCCCCTGATACTCAACTAGGGGTTTCTTAATCCCGGGGCAACATTATAACTCACTTCCCGGGTTCCTGGACTTCACGCACTTGTTGCAACGACCATTTTAGCGATGAACACAACAAGTTTGATTGCTTCTTTCTTGGCCAATCCACTCACTCGGAAGTGAGTAAAGATCTCTTTGCGCCTTTTTTTTTGGGGGGTGAGGGTAGAAGCCCTGACAACTCGGGTTCCCCTTTTGGTCCGCCGGAAGCGAGGGAACTTTTCTCGTGACCCGAAAACCCCCCAAAAAAAAAGCGCCGCGAGGAGAGGCCGAGCCGCGTCAAGGCGAAGCTGGAAGGCCCGAAGGCGAAGGACCGAGTTTGCGTCAGCGCGGTCAGACTCACTCCCTGAGTTCATGGACTTTAGTCGCTTGTTTTTTTTTGGTTTAGACCACTTTAGTGCCTTTAGTCGTTTTTTTTGGGGAGACTTTTCTTGGACCATCCACTCGGGAGGTGAGTAGCAGGACATGGGAAAACAAAAGGGCAAAACATAGCTGTGGATGGTTGTGAAATCGTCCTAGGCACCACTTGGAAACCATGGTTGAAGCCAAATTGTTGGTATTTGCGGGGGAATCGAATCATTCCAGGGCCTTTTCAGTGGTGCGAAATGGATTTTGTCCATCCACAGTAGTCTGCATACAAAACTGTACCAAGTCACATTAAAGCAATGGTTGGGTTCATATATTCACTATTTACCTAAGGATTGTCATCCAAATTGGGCCCTTGCCATTCTTTTTGTGAGGATTGAAGCCTAGGGAGTTTAAATGGGGTTTCCACACAAATGTGACTTTCCTCTTTGGCTTCCCAGCAAAACCAACACTTTCAGGGGGTTTTCCTCAAAGAAAGACACGCCCATTCCTTGTTGATCCCGGGTTAGTACACCCGCCCTATTAATAGGGGGTGTTCCCTTCCCAAAAGTGACTAAAAGGGGATGCTGTCTTGGAGACGGATCACCAAAGATCAGGAATCAATGCACTGATTCTAGCTTTGGTCAGTCTCAGTCTTTCCTGAAGGGGGTGAGGGCGGACATTGGGTCAGCCATTCTTTTCTTGCCACAGCTTCCCAGGGCTCCCATGATGAACAAATGCGGTCATGTCATGAGCCCCCTCTTTCTTTGCGATGAGACGGCCCACGTTTAACTGTTTAAATGGTCATGGACACTGCCGGTGCTGAAGCAGCCCCCTTGGCTCGCAAAAAGCGGCTGCCCTCTATGAAATAAAACCTTCTCGGCTGAGGGAGACGGTCATGGTTTCCCTGAGAAGCCTCAAGTCTGGCTGCTCGAAACCACTTGAACATCTTGAACCTATGTGGCCACCCTTAGCCACAAAGGTCTAAACATGCAAGTCCCATATTGTCGCAGCAGCCCAGCGCATGAGGCTTGAGCTTGCCATGGCATTTGCCAGACGGTCCCATTTAGGGCAAAATGATGTTCCAAGACCCCAGTCAGGTTCCATGAGAACATGACTGGGGCAGCCGTAGGACCGGCGCGACAAGAAGCCGCGCGAGAAGGAGAAGAAGCGGTGAGGGGTTGAGTTATCGTTACCGGACCGGGGGCACACCGCCTGGCCTCACAAATCATGCCTTCGTGATTTGGGGTAGGTCGATGTCGTGTCCTTAAATTTTGCGCCGCACCCAAGTTGCGCCGTCTGAGAAGTTCATTGGAGAGGCCCTTAGGTTCTTGCTCGCGATGCCTTGACACAAGTCTGGCCCTATCTTTCCACCGGTCCGGTGCCCGGCGTTCGGCCGAGAGATAACGAGAGCGGAAAGAGGCGGGGCGCGAGGCGCGAGCGCGTGGTTGGCCCCCCCGCAAAGGCTCAGTTGTCCAAGCCGACCTTGTAAACTTTTGGCTTCCCCTGTTTGGTCCATTTTCATTAATGGGTCCAATAGGTTCACCTTTTTCCAGGTCCTTTGGGTGAGAGGCGGCTTGCTGATTGCTTTGATCGGGTCAAAACGACAGATGTCGCTTTACAAGTCCTTGTGGAAGGCACTCTCGGCCCAGCGCGAAGTGGGGATTCCTGGCAACGCCCCCCCAAGACCAATGAATCTGGACAGAAGCATGGGAGGCTTGCTTGAAAGCATCCCAGAGACTATGTGGGTCTCGGTATGTGTCAAACAAAATGGGGGGGGGGGGGGGGACTTTCTGGTTTTCCCAGAAAGGCATCCCTCAACCTAAACCCACCTGAGAAAGGCACCCAGTTTTTGCGGGTTAGAGCCATAATGGAAGCAGATGGTTTGTAGGGGGATTACGAGGCCAGGCCAAATGAAGGGCTTCTTCTCAAATGGGACACCTCCCGCGAGAACCAGGGCGCGACTGCGTGAGAGACCCTCAGCTTGCATGGGTTCACCGGCTGAGAGATTTGTGTGACAAGTTTGGAGATTTATCGTATGAGTTCTCAGCAAGGCGCAAAAACGTGCAACGAGCAGGACGCTCCGGGATTTTCTGGACCCCTTGAAACGGACATATCGATCTCAAGTCACTTTGGGGACCCGATTGCCCAAAAAGGTATGCTGCCTCATGGGAAGCACAGCATTGGATCTGCCCAAATTTGGCGCGAAGGGTCTCAAAATCGTGGTAATGCATTTGGTGTCCCATTAAGACAGCCCCAAACACGGCGCCGGGGTCGGGGGGGCTTTCTTCTAGCCTGCACTCCGTGTCGCCAACTTCCGCGCATGGCACGGAAGTCGAAGACGTACGGGTGGGCCAAAAGCCTGGTGGCGGTGGTGGGTCTGTGCTGCCTGGTCTTCAGCTATCTGCGGCTTGGCTTTGGCCTTTCCCCTCAGTGAGGGGAATCACATGAGCCCTACAAGGTTTCTCAAGCCTTGGTTTGGAAACAACCTCAGGGAGAAAAGTTGAAACTTGAGGCTGAAGGGGAATACATCTAGAGTTAGGCTAAACCCAGGAGACAGATCCAGGTCAGATCAGAAGCTTGTGGTGGGGAAACACACAAGGTTGCTTATGAGCTCTCCCGGGCGGTTTTCCCCTCGAAGTTGTGTTGCTTGTTTTGTTGGCTTCCAGGCGCAACTAAAGCGAGAGCTGAAGGCCGCCCTACTAAAGTTTGCAATGTTTGCAAATGGTGACCTAGGTGGCTGCTGAAGGGCATCCCTCTTTCGCTCGCAAGGGGAACCAAAAGGACGCCAACCATTGTGTGCAATGTAGCCTGGCTAGGCTGGAAATTGGGAAACAGCGCACATTGGGCCACAACCCTTTGTGAGAATCTTAGTGAGGGTGTGGGGTGTGCTGGGCGTGCTGGTCGTGCTGGGTGTGATCGTTTTGCGGGTGTCCTTTTTAGCGCGCTGGTTTTTGTGGTGTTCAAAGTTTTCAAGGGAAGCCCAAAAGGAGGGATGATGTACACCCAGGGTCTATTTTGCAACTTCCTTCATGTTTTTTTTTTGCTGCAAAAGATGCCGTTGGTGGTGCACCAGATGCTGTTGGTGGTTCAAATTGGTGGTTTGGGGGTTCGAACCCCTTGTTTTTGGCAGAGGGTTTATGGGGAACCCCTCCTCCACCAAACCAGCGTTTCGGCTCCAAACCACCTTTCTCGAGGACAGTGTCCATGGCACAGGGCCCCGAAAATCTAACACGCTGGCCGAGGCTTTTTGTGGGCCTGCCCGCTCCGCGCCGGGATGCTGTCGACGGATCGCCGATAGCTCTCCTGAAGGCTTTGGAGGGAAGGCCTGGCGGCTTGCGTCGCCCACAAAACCACACGAGTTGGATCAACGTGCAATCCAAGAGACCAAACAAAAAGACAACACCAAATTGGGTGAACATGGACCCCTCAAAAAACAAACCAAAATCAAAAACTAATGATGAACATGTACACCACTCAACTGGTTCTTTTTTGTGTCACAGGGGACATTTGTCATACCTCCCTTTTTCGGCTTTCGGCTTGGCCTTCACCCCGAGCACGGGTTTTTGACCAGCCGGCCGCGCGCCCGCTCGCTCGCCTTGCTGTGGCCGCCAGGTCCGAGGGCGACGTCTTCAGCGCCGTGGCGCTGCGCCCGGCGCCGCGCGGCGCGCCGCGGCCCGCGGCGGCGGCGCCCGCGGACGGCGGCGGCTTCCGCCTGCGGCCGGGCGAGGCGCCGCGGGTGGAGGCCGTGGTTTTTCGCGGGCGGCGGCTGGAGCCGCTGGAGGCGCAGCTGGCGGCGCTGAAGGAGGGCGGCACAGGCGGGGGCCGTGGGGTGGGGGAGGGGTGAGGGGGGGGGGGTTCAGGAAGGTAGGGGGTTCAGGAAGGTAGGGGGTTCAGGAAGGTAGGGGGAGGGGAAGGGGAGGGGGCAGCTGCAATTAGGCATGGAAGAGATGAATGGACTTTTGTTGTTTTTTGCCCCTGATTCATAATTCACCCCCAAGGTCGAACAAGGTCTAGAAAAGTCAATTTGGAGGGTCCTACAGGCAGAGGGGTTGGAGTTTAAGGCGGGAGGTCCTCTCCGGTCCTTCCTGCCTGGCCAGCAACAGAAAAGCGAAAGGAAGCTGGGTTTTATTGAAAGATCCCAGCGCCAAGATTTGGAAACTGGGAAAAACCAGCCCCTAACCCCCTAAACCGCCGATCCAAGCCACCAATAGCATGGAAGGTATGAAGGGGGGTTCAACTATTGGGGGGGGGGGTGGACTGGCCTTGAAGGGGAGTACTTTTTATGTGAGCTTGTCAAACCTTAATCGCTTAAACAACATGTAATGTTTTTGGGACAGCCACCCTTAAAACGGTGATTGCGTTTTGTTTTTTTTTTGGCACAAGTATTGACAATAGCTTTTATACTTTATCGTCGCGCTTTTACTTTTGATTTTTTTTGGGGCGCAAAGAATAAGTCTATACACATGTGATGAGTTTGTTTGACCAAACCTTATTGGCAATCTGGGAGGGGTGAGGATAGTCTCTATTTACGGGGGTTTCTTAGTCAGGAGTACGCATTACCTTTGCTTTCATCAACTGATGTTCAGGGTGATTAAACATGATGCAACGTACAAAGATGCAATCAAACGAGGGGCAGGTTGCCCAGCGTCGGTGTGAGATAGGGTGGGAGTTGGTCGATAGAGTTCAAAACTGACGGTGCTGAAAGTTTGTCGCAAGCGGTACATGAGACAAGCGTGCGTGAATGTGAGCTGTTTTTTGCCCAGCCAGTCAGGATGTTTTGTAGTTGGGAGATGGGGTGGCCTGGTTTGGTGTTGATGTTGCATTTTGGTAGTGCTGTGGTCCCGTTGCTTTGTTTGGCTGGGCATTCCGCCCAAATCAGCTTGCTTGCCGGAGTATTTGGTTTGTATTGGCCTGCAGGTTATAGCTCAGGATCTGAGAGGCTGGGCTAGCCTCCATGCCTCAAGCTAAAGCCCAAATGAGTGGGAAGTGACATGTGGGTCAAACCCGGCGAGCGAGCAACTGGACACTGACACGGGTCTATCTGCAACCTTTGGCACAGCGAAGCGACCTATTGGTTTACCCCTTTTGGCAATCATCTTTAGCCACCCCGAAAGGTGATCGCCTTCTTCTTGTGGAGTTTGTGGGGCAACTGAGTTAGGCCGTGGGGGCGGGGTTGGGGGGGGGAATCCTCCCCACACCACCCTTTCCCATGGTGACGCGCAGTCCGGCCCTGCCTGGTGACAACGGGTGCATCGCTCGACTGCGGGGGGGTAGCCGCCACCTGGGAACAGCAGAGCTACGAGGCGCTCGGCGTCTCCGTTTTTGGGGCGCTGGGGGCTTTCGGATTTTTTGCGGGCTCGGAACCCGAACTCGCCAAGAATTTATGTGAAGCATGTGACAATCTGATTTTTTACAAGGCCGCAATTATTTGTCCTAATGGGTTTCCATTGCTGGTGACGCCAGCAAACAAGCAACCTCTGTCCATATCTTGTTTGCAGGATCGGAGCACTCTCGGTGGCCGCTTTGACACTCATTCTCTCAGACAGTACCCGGGGAATGGCGCAAGCTCGCCGTTGCCAAACTTGGTGTCCTCACTTGCCCGCAGCCGACAGACCCTTTGATCTTCTGTTGCTTTCCCGCTTTGGTCCATTTTTAGTGGCCCCAACAGGTTCACCTTTTGTTTGTTGGGCAGCTGAGTGTCCGTTGCCTTTCCGAAAAACAAGGCCTGGGGTCTTGGGAGACTGTTCAAACTCCTAGCCGTTTGAGGGGTACATGGACCAGCTGGGGAGTTTCTCATCCTTGGCTCAGATGCTGCGTGGTTTTTGTTTTGTTTTTGCGTCCATTGGCTTGCTTGCAGGCATATGGGTATGGGTCAAAAAGACGCCACCAGCGGACCGCGGGATTTGGTCGTCCCAGTTTGGGTACCTATTTTTTTTGACCCACGTCCATCTCGGACCAAACTGGACAGGTGTCCTTTTGGGTGGCGGGTCTCGATGATCCATTGCCGGACGTCGACCAACTCGGAGGCACATAGCTCGGCTCAACCCTGGGACCCCGGGACTGGGGAATTTGAATGCGCCTGGGCTTTGCATGGCATGGGGCTTCTGGTAGCCTCGCAGCGAAAAGGGTCTGGGCCCACCCTGAATTGAAGCCCTGCTTGGTTGCTATGCCCCACAAACGCCGCAGGTCTTGGGCCTTCCCTTCCCTTTTGGAGTTTTTGCCCACAAGTACCAAGAACCCCAAGACTTCCATATAAGAATGTATGTTATTTTCCCTTGCTGGTTTTAAAAGGGAGCCTATCACTCCTGGACATATGTTTCTCGTTTTTTTCAAGCGGGCGAACAAGCAAATGGAAAGAAGAAGGTGTGTCGGCCTCCCTTCCCTTTTTGGTTTTTTGGTGTTCTCTGCAGGGGCAATATCAGCCCCAAGAATCTAGGGGTAACTTCCCCATTCTTTCCAGGGATGCTTCTTTCTAATTAGAAATCCACCAACAACCTTGGAAATGGCGATCGGTTTTTGAAAAAAAATGGCTGAAAAGAATGGGAACCCCTAGAAAAATGGTGGACATCCAAATTCGGCGGGGATTCATGTCCAATCACTTTTAAGAGGTGGTTCCAACAAAAGTGTCCAATCGGGAATCAACCCCTAGAAAGAAGATGTCCATTCCTTTTCTTGCGTCCCTTTCGGCTCTCAGCTCGCGGACGGCCGCGCGCTGCGCTGGCGCCTGCGGTTTTTGCAGCCGCCGAAGGTCGGGGCGGAGCTAGTGGTGCGCGCACGGCTGCCAGGTGCTGCGGTGGAAGGCGAGCGGCGAGTCGCACAAAGGGAACTCGGGTCGAAGAACGCAACTGGATTTATGTGGGGCACGTTGACGTTGACCCCATATTCACCAACCCCAGGGGGGTGCAGTGGGGAATCAGTTTCATTAGTAGGGGGTTGTCTGATTCTGGGTTTAGTGATTTATTTTGGAGGGGCCTGGGGATTTGTCTCTTGGGAACCCCGGAAGTGGGTGGTTGCCAGCGGGGTTTCTCTGGCAGGCCCCAAAGATACCCTTTGGTTTCAAATAAGACACGCCCAAGGGTAGGAATCAGTTTTTAGTACTATGGGGTTGTCCGATTCTGATTTTGGTGGGGAATCAGACACTTTTGGAGGGCCCCCCACGGTTCACCATGGTTCACCCTGTTGAGAACAAGCAAGTCTTTCAACAGCCTGTGCACCTTCATGTTTGGTTTTTGTGTAAAGGGTAGCCCCTGACCCCTAACCCCCTGACCCCCTAACCCCCAACCCCAACCCCCCCCCCCCCCCACGGCCCCAACAACCCCCCCCCCCGTGCAGTGGACACTCCTGCCCATTTTACGGTTACCGTTCCCGTGTAAAGAGCGAAGCCGGACTACGGCGGCGCGGGCGCGGGCGCGGGGCGCGCGCGGGCGCGGGCGGGCGCGGCGGCGCGGGCGGGCGCGGGCGCGGCGGGCGCGGCGGGCGCGGCGGGCGCGCGGCGCCGGCGGCGGGGCGGCGCGGGCGCGGGCGCGGTGGGGCGGCGACGCGGGCGCGGGAGCGATGTGCGCGGCGGGCGGGCGCGGGCCTTGGGTGCGGCGGGCGCGGGCGCGGGGGCGGGCGCCGGCGGGCGCTGTGGGCGCGGCGGGCGCGGCGGCGCGCGGCGCGGGGCTGGGCGGGCGCGGCGGGCGCGGCGGCCCGCGCGGCGTGCGGCGGCCCGGCGGCGCGGGCGCGGCGCGCGGTGGGTGCGGCGGATGCGGGCGCGGGCGGCGGTGGGCGCAGCGGGCGCGGGCGGGCGCGGCGGGCGCGGGGGGGCGGGCGCGGCGGGCGCGGCGGGGCGGCGGGCGGCGGGCGCGGGGCGGGCGTGGCGGGCGCGGCGGGCGCGGCGGGCGCGGCGGGCGGTGAGCGCGGCGGATGCGGCCCGGGCGCAGCTGGCGCGGCGGGCGCGGGCGGTGGTGCCAACAGGCGCGGGGGGCGGCAGGCGCGGCGCGGGCGGGCGCGGCGGGCGCGGCGATCGCGGCAGGCGCGGCGGGCGCGGCGGGCGCGGCGGCGCGGCGGGCGCGGCGAGCGCGGCGGGCGCGGCGGGCGGCGGGCGCGGCAGGCGAGCGCGGCAGGCGCGGCGGGCCCGGGCGCGGCGGGCGTGGTGAGCGCGGCGAGCGCGGCGGCGCGGCGGGCGGGCGGGCGCGGCGGCGCGCGGGCGCGCGGCGCGCGAGCGCGGCGGAGCGTGGGCGGGCGCAGCGGGCGCGGCGGCGCGGCGGGCGCGGCGGCGCGGCGGGCGGGCGGTGCGGCGGCGCGGCGGCGCGGCGTCGGGCGGCGCGGCGCGGGCGCGCGCGCGCGCGGGCGCGGGCGCATGTGCGCGGCGGGCGTGGGCGCGGGCCCGCAGGCGCGGGCGCGTGGGCGCCGCGGGCGGCGGCGCGGCGAGCGCGGATGCGGCGGGCGCGGCGGGCGGGGGCCGGGCGCGGCGGGCGCGGCGGGCGATGGGCGGGCGCGCCGGGCGCGCGGGCGGCGCGGCGAGCGCGGCGGGCGGGGCGGGCGTGGGCGCGGCGGGCGCAGCGGGCGCGGCGGGCGCGGGCGGGCACGGGCGGGCACGGCGGGGCACGGCGGGCGCGGCGGGCGCGGCGGGCGCGGGCCCGGGCGCGGCGGGCGTGGCGGGCGCGGCGGGCGTGGCGCAGCCGGGGGGCGGAAGTTTCCAAAATATATAAACTATAGTTGTCCTTCTCTTTCTTTTCTCGATGTTTCTCTTCTTTCTTTCCTTTTTTATTTTCATTGTTTCTTTTCTGTCCATCGTTATTGCTTTCTTTGTTATTTGATGTTCTTTCTTTCTTTCTTCCTTCCTTCCTTCCTTTCTTTCTTTTTTTCTTTCTTTCTGCCTGTCTTTCTTTCTTTATTTCTTTCTTTCTTTCTTTCTTTCTTTCTTTCCTGCTTCCTTCCTTTCCTGCCCTTCCTTCTTTATTTAGTTCTTTCCGTTCTTTCTGTTATTTCTTTCTTATTGTTTCGATCTATCTCTCTAACTATCTACCTATCTGTCTATCTATCTACCTACCTATCTAACTATATATCTACCTATATTTCTAGCTCCCTCTCTCTCTCTCTCAATCTATCTATCACTCCATCCATCTATATATCGGTATCTCTCTCTCTCTATCTATCTATCTATCTTTCTTTCTACTTACCTACCTACCTACCTAACTATCTCTCTCTCTCTCTCTCTCTATCTATCTCTCTCTCTCTCTCTCTCTCTCTCTCTGTCTCTCTATCTGTCTATCTACCTACCTACCTGCCTACCTGCCTATCTCTCTATCTACATATCTAGCTTTCTACTTACCTATCTCTCTCTATCGATCTATATCTCTATTTATCTATCTGTCCATCTGTTTATCTATCTGCGTCGCATGTTTAACAGTTATACTGTCCGGCAGTGTTCAACGTACCTCCCCCCCCCCTCCCACCCAACCCCCCAACCCCTAAACCCCCGAACCTCCAAACCCCCCCAAATCCCCCCAAACCCAACCCGTTGCTCCAAACCCACGCCACTTCCGCGCATCGGCGCCTGCGGCCCCTGGCGCCTCCCACCCGGGCGCCGCCTGCGCGCCGAGTTTCGCAGCGCCTCAGGCCGCGTGGATGGGTCCCCGGCGACGGCGCGCCGGCGCGGCGAGCTGCAGCTGCCGGCGAGCGCCAGGGCCAGCGGGGCGTTCCCGGGGAAGGGCCCGGAGAGGCCCTGGGCGCGCGCTTTTCTCCGCGCGTTGTTTCGTGCGGGGTTGGGTGGGGGGGGGAAGTGGGGCGGGTGGGTGGGGGGGAGGTGGGGCAGGTGGGGGGGGGGGAGGTGGGGGGATATCCTTGGACTTGTGGGTGGGCACATGCGCCGTTTTTCGTGCCCCACGTTTTTCGGGTGAAATGATGAAGTACCAAAAGTTGGGGGGGCATCTCTCTCGTCACAAATTATACAGAGCTCACCGAAACGAGCTCACCCATGAAGGTTCCTTACTTTGGATCTTAGTAGGTGAGTTCGTTCCAATGAAAAACTACACCCTGTTTCCACCAATCATAGAATTGGAGAGGGGGGCTTCCCCAAGTCTTTCCAAGCCTGTGAACTTCCATCGTTGGAAACAGGGGTATTCTGGGTATTCCCTCTTTGAAGTGGCTGCCACGTGCCAACTCAAGGAAGGGATGACCGGCAAAAGGGTCCGCTTGCAAGACACAATTTTTGGTACCAGCTGAGCATGGATTTAGCTTTCTTCTGATCGCAGCCTGTCTACCCAAGCATCTGTTATTGGGGGGATGCCTACATATTTAGATTGTGATGGGGAAGAGTCCAAGGATCTACGTATTGTGTCAGGAGCAATGCATCTTGTTGGGAACGCCCGTGTCAGCTTGGGCGGGGGAGATAAAGCATTCAGCGTTCCCTTCAGCTGTGGTTCCTGAAATGTCCTTGACCCAGAGACTCGGCTTTGATGTACTGCACGCCAGATTTGGTCCAATATATGCCAAGTGTCTCCTTACCCGGGCGGTGCTTCTAACAAAGGCCCTTCTGCGGCCGGGCTCAATCTGCCATCGGACTTGGGGGTCAAACGCTGCTATGTTTTGTTGAGGTGTTGGCTTTGTGTGAGCATGTCTTTGTGTCGCAACTGGGCGGGGATTGGTGTGTGTGTGTGTGTTGACCAGAATGCGTGCAAGGGGGCGGGGAGAGGTGGCCAATTCGAGGATACGTGCTAGCTTGCATTGCCCGCTCACGGGAGTTGCCGCTCCTGCGGCCTGCTCGTTTGGTTTGCTAGTTCTTCCATCGGCATCAGTTCCCCCCGGTGCCGGAGGAAGTTGACGGCTCTGGCAACATGCCCGGTAAGTACTGTGCAACATTTCCTGGCGAATCAGCGTCTCGAGCGGGTGAAGCCCGACTCGAAGCGGGGATTCACCAAGGATAGAAAGATCATTTTTGTCTCCAGGGCGCTGTAAGATGAGACTCAAGGGCAGGGCCCTTGAGAGCAACATTCTGTTTTATTTTTGATAACAGCGTCTAGGTGAGGAGATACGTCACGAGTTATTTCCGGAGGCCATGCCCAGGAGGACAACAAGGTGTATGCTCTGTCTGTTCCGTTTTCCTCCATTTGCTTGAGAACATTATATATATATTATTTTCCCTTGTTGGCTTTAAAAGGAATCGATTTCACTACTGGACATATTTTCTCATTTTTTCCTGGGGCCTTACCCGAATGCAAGTTTTGAAGGCTTGCCCTCCTGAAAGAGCCCTTGCCGCTAATCCGCGGCTGCTCGCTCATCCCGGATTCGCGTCACCTGAAGACCCCGCGGCTTGAAGCTTCATGGGGCGTCTGGCATTGAAACCCTGCGAGGCGCTTGTTGGTGGAGTTCACAGTTCGGCTGGTGGTTCTGTTTTAGTAATCGTTGAGTACTGTTTTCATATGCTGCAAGGCGGGGATCCACAGATTCGCCACATCCAAGCAGTTTCTAGAACTGCACTGGTCCGCGTGGCAGGCTATTGGACGAGGACGATGGCACAGAATGGTTTGCCGGCAAGGGTGATACTTCCGCATGGATCCTCAGCGTCACTAAGAGCGATGGCACGATGGCGTGTTTTTTGTTTTTTTTTGTTTTCCTTTTATTTGTTTGAAGGTCAATTTGCACAGTAGAGGCTGCCAATCACATGGAGTGGCTGATTTTTTTGCCGGGTCCTAGACAGACCCCAGAAGCTTAATGCCACTTTCGACAGAGCAGCTTTAGCAGCGTGTGCATACAGGGTCGGGCTTCTAGAGTGTAGGGGCAGTCCGCCCCTTTTGCTCAAGGCACGAGATCTCTCATGTTGAGCATGGAGTGCGCAGTCGGTAATCACCCAGTTGCCTTTAAGCATGCCCATGTGCACGCTGAATGCATTCGAAGCATCCGCCAGTGCCTGGGAATCAGCAGGGCACGGCCAAATTTGGATCACAACTTTCAGCGACTAGTGATTGCCGCTGATGTACCCCCCCCCCCAGCTCCAAGGTCGGCGAGGTTCAGCAAAAAGCGTTTTGTTGGAGTGTCCCGCTGGATCCTCCCAATTCGCGATGGGACTTGCATGGGAAAGCAAAATTTCAAAAGGAATCGTGTATTTTTGGATGGTTCAAGTGCCGGAGAGGTCAGGATGAATCAGGGCGGGGGGAGAGGGGGGGCGCGCTGTTCGGCAGGGACTGGCCTTGAACGGGGGGGGGGGAGGGCCTTTGCGAGCTTGTTAAACTTTGGTTGTTTAAGCAAACTGTAGCAAAAAATGCTTCTGGACAGTTGACTTTTAGAGATTTGTTATGGCAGCCCGTAGAAGTCTGAAAGGAAGTTGTGTTGGAAGAAATATTTGCGATAGCTTCGGGAATTTATATTTGTATTTGACAAGATTGAATTTTTCGGGGTGGGGGGACAGGAGAAGGTTAGCGCTTTCGACTCGGAGGGTTTGTTTAGGGGTTTAGGGGGAAACAAACTACATAAGAGGCAACTCTATACGGAGCAGGGTAGCATTAATCGAGGAGAGGGGGGAATACTAATCAGGTTCTAGAATTATTTGTCGAAACCCTGGCCGCCAACACGGGTTGTTTGAAGCAATACTTGCGCACCATCATCTGACCAAAGCCATCAAGCTCATCATTATTGCGCAATGTGCATACGTAACACAAGTCCTGCGGTGACCGTCACTTACGATGTGCTGTGCGTGCGTGCGTGCGTGCGTGCGTGCGTGCGTGCGTGCGTGCGTGCGTGCGTGCGTGCGTGCGTGCGTGCGTGCGTGCGTGCGTGCGTGCGTGCGTGCGTGCGTGCGTGCGTGCGTGCGTGCGTGCGTGCGTGCGTGCGTGCGTGCGTGCGTGCGTGCGTGCGTGCGTGCGTGCGTGCGTGCGTGCGTGCGTGCGTGCGTGCGTGCGTGCGTGCGTGCGTGCGTGCGTGCGTGCGTGCGTGCGTGCGTGCGTGCGTGCGTGCGTGCGTGCGTGCGTGCGTGCGTGCGTGCGTGCGTGCGTGCGTGCGTGCGTGCGTGCGTGCGTGTGCGTGCGTGCGTGCGTGCGTGCGTGCGTGCGTGCGTGCGTGCGTGTGTGTGTGTGTGTGTGTGTGTGTGTGTGTGTGTGTGTGTGTGTGTGTGTGTGTGTGTGTGTGCGTGTGTGTGTGTGTTTTCCGAAGCAGTTCTTGTGAGCAAGCCATCGGGATGTATAGGGATACAGCGGTTGGAGAGCAACCAAAGAGAGTGATTTCTTGGCATACTTGATTCAAGACGGAGTGTAACTGTTAAAAGAGACATTGCTGTCCCTTTTACTTGATGGCATGTGAAGAGAACTCTGAAGGCCGCGCTTCAGCCTCGGAGAAGCCCCCTCAACCCTTGATTCAACGTGAACTGGTCACCTCCCGTACTTTGGACTGGTAGGCGCATCTTCCATTTGCTTAAGAATATTTTATATTTTCCCTTGTTGGCTTTAAAGGGAATCTATCACTGCTGGAAATATATTATTTTTCCAGGGGGGCTAAGCAAGTGCAAGGCATGGAGAGCGAGGGCTGGTTTGTACCATGGAACCAACAGATTGGGCTGAAGCGGAGGCATGCTCAGCAAGTGTTTGTGATTTTGCCTTGGGAGTGGACCACTTGGGTTTGTCTCAACATAGCGGGGTGGTTTACTTGTTGTTGAATTCACAATTAAAGGGCACCCCCAAAAAAGACGCGCATTTGAGTTGCATCTGCTTCACGGTAATTTATAAGTATGTGCATTTGCTTTCCCTGAATGGGAGGACAGCTCATATGACAGATAATTTGCTGACCTAGGCTCGGCTCAAGAGACGCCCACCCCACTTTAGGCGCCAACTTGATGGCCCAACAGGCCACACGTGAAATCGGAGGAACCCTTGCGCTGCAGAGCCTGTTTGGATTAGAACTCCAGTTGTTTGTCAAAATTGAAATGCGCGCTTGGAACTTGACATTGCAGTTCAGACTTGGTGAAGCTGAAAGTCTCTGACGGTGTTCTACAATTGTTTTTTGGGCCTGAGGTAGGCGAAGCATGCTTTCTTTTGTAGGCCGGTTTGTGTCCATTGCTAAGGACTCCTTGCAAACCCATGAGCCTAATGACTTGTCATAGACGCTCCGAGCAGGCTCCAAAACCCAGCGTGCCCGACCTGCTCCCCCCCTCTGACTCTGTCCTTTGATGCGAGGCTCAAGTTATTTCTTCAAAGCCAGCTTTTCACTGCGAAATTTTCCGCTTTTCCCCCTCAACCCCCCAAAGCCCCCCCCCCCCACATAAAACCCGGTGAATTGGGTGCACTTTTGCTGGATCCACTTCCCCTTCAACCCCCAAAGCCAGCCCCCCTAAAATCCGGTGGTTTGGGGGCACTGTTTGCTGGCTCCAGGGGTGGGTTTTTGGGTCCCGGACGCTGGGCTTTCATATGGCCATGGGTCAAAAGCCCGTACCCCCAGTGAACATCCCAATCCCCCCTAAAACAGACTAAAGTGGGTGGACCTATCCGCCATATGTGAGGGTGGAGCTGGACCTGCTGCGGGATCGCGTGGTGGGCTCGGTGGGGTGGCACTGGTGGGCCCACGCAGCCGGGGAGTGGCACCTGGAGAGCCGAGCGCAGGGGGAGGACTGGGGGGCGAGGTTGGGGTGCGGGTGGTGCGGGGTTGGTTGGGGTGGGTGGGTGGGTGGGTGGGTGTGGGGTTGGTGCAGGAGATGGGTTGGGATGAGGTTTGCGTCATGCTCCCACACTCAACGGTGTTTTTTCCGACTTGTGAGGGGTCACATTCCGAGATGGACGCCGCATTTCGGTGACATCGCCCCCCTCTACTTCTAGAAGTGTTATTGCTCCTGTTGGTTTTGAAGGGAATCGATTTCCCTGCCGGACATATCTTATCGTTTTTTTGGGGACTGGAGTGGAGCACATCAAAGGAGGGGAGATGTGGATCCGCAAGTCAGGAAATCTCTTTTCACGAAAGCTAGCTTTAGCTAGCTGAAGTTTCTCCTTGCGTAAGCAAGGTAAGGGGCTCAAACGCCGAAAGATTGATGTTTTCAATTATTTGAGCCGAAAAGATTGACAAACATCAATTATTTAGACCCCCCCCCCTCCCCCCCCCCCGGGTCTCAGGCTCGATTCCTCCCTGGTCCATCCCCCCCCCCCCGGGCAGTGGCTCAGTGTTCAGCAGTCTCGGTTTGCCCGTTTTGGACTTGGTGCTACGAACTTTTACATGTTCCACCGATTCAGCTTGTTCATTTGAGACCTCAGTCTTCTCGGTAAACCACCTCGCAAGAATCTTTGCACACGCTGCATGCAGAACCCAGAGGTGCTTTAAGACAGCTTCTGACGCCTCTCGTTGTTTTCAGTTTTCAAGGTTTGCCACGCCACCATGTGCGTTTGCGTGTCGCATCCTACGAATCTTGCCGGGCCTCTCGTTGTACACAAGCTACCTATGAATCCACTCTGTCACCGACCCATCTCATGCAACAACTGCTAGCTTTCGTTCACCCGCTCCTCAAGTATGGGATCCCCGTTGAAGTGGGCGACCATGCCAGTCCGGCCAGGTTGAGCTTGTCAACGGCGATGTTGGGGTGACATTGAAGTTGGCGCGACAAGTGTTCATGGTGCATCCCCAACGGTAACCAAACAACTTGCGGTAGCCTACTGCATCCCCAAGTACTTGCTTTCAATGAGTTTGTCAACTTTGGGACGCTTTGGCGTCAAACGCATTTTTGGAGTCCTTGTGCGAAATGGGGGAGGGGTGAGACTGAATTGAAGCGCGGTTGATATTGATCGAAACTTGAACTAAATGGACTCAAGGTACCTCATATGTTTCCAATTGAACATTCATGGGGGGTGAGGGGGTGGGAGTCATGATGATGTGTTCAGGCCCATGATGTCCGCATCATGCAAAAGGATGCAAAACACCAAACTAATCAGGGCACTTTGGTCGCATTAGTTTCTCAGGGGGTGGTACACAGGTGGCGTGCCCCCCGGTATGAATGAATCCATTCAGACTTCAAACGAACATTTGGAATCTTTCCATGAAATTAGTCAGGCAGGCCATTGACTACAACAAGGGCTACTCACGAAAGGTAGCGGCTGCGCTAGCTGATGGCTTTGGCAGTCCATGAGCATCCTGGCAGCCCCGGCCTTTTCCGCCGTGCTATGCTCGCCTTGGTTTGTGGGAAGTATTGAGGCCTTCGCCTGTTTCTGGCCTCCCTGCAGCCCGAGCCAAACTGATCTCGCGCCGCCCTGGTGTGCTCTCTTTGGCTTCCCCGCCCGCATCCCCAGCATCCCCAGGTCATGTACTTACCCTCCACTAACATGGCAACTGACACAGGGTATTTTCGAGAGGAACACCCTCTTCCAGGTACCCTCCCGCAGCTGCTATGTTTGTTGGAGGGTACCTCTGTTTGTGACCTCTTTCCTGTGCCGCCTCACCAACTTGGCCTGCTGCCAACTGCAACCCGGTCCCAACTGACCTGCATCCCCACCATCCTCCCGTCTTTTTCATCCCCCCCCCCCCGCTGCTCTCCGCAACTCTCGTCGGGCACGAAAGTCTCAATATCTGTGTCGAGAAAATGCGGCCGATGCAGCGCTGACCGCGGCTACCTTCGTTCATCCCCACAGCAACTCACAACTCAGGTACCCTGAATTAAGTATTATGTTCTTTGCTTTGAGTGAGTTGTCAAAAGAGTAATAATATAACACCACTTGGCAGTGGTCCAATCAATGCGTGGCAGACCTTGCAGCAAAACAGGGAGGTGCCTTCCTCACTGAACACCCGGATGAGGACATGTCAGTCCTGAATCGGTGCAAGGGAGAGTGCGTTTCTCCAACATTTTGGAGAAGTGGCCATGCAACATACGATGGCATTCGGCATTTGCTCTTCTGTCCGAGGTGTGTGCATTCCAGGTGATTGCGTGTTGCTGTCCAATGTCAGAGAGCCCTAAACAGAACAGGGGACGCCGTCACAGGTTTGGGTTTCAGTCAGTTTCTGGCAGAATGAAAACCCGAAATGGCCCGGGAAAACACTCCGTTTGCGTGATCCCTCGTTAAGGGCAGCCAAGCACTGTTTTCGGCAACTTATCAAGAGCTCGCCGATTTTATTTTATTTATTTTTTACTGGGGGATTCCTGAAGTACAGTTCTTGAATTGTAGTATATTACCCAGGTTTACTTTGGAGGGGTGTCTTTGATGACATATTTCTCTAAGGACCTTACTAACCACCAGCGTCATGTTTTTGAGTGTTCCTTGCGGTTTTGAGAGTCAGCTTAGGGGGCGTGTGTTTCCCTTTAATCTACCACTTGGGCGGCGACTTTGAGCACGGTTTTTATCATGGGGGAGTCCCCAGTTCGCTTTGCCATCATCATCATCATCATCATCATCATCATCATCATCATCATCATCATCATCATCATCATCATCATCATCTCACCATCACCATCAGTCCCCCTTTGCACCTGCACGAGGCAGGTCTGCGCCTCCAGGAGTCGTGGACCACTCGCGCCTCCGGCGAGTCCGGGGACTTCAACGCGGCGCAGAGTGTGGCGGGCTGGGAGAAGCCCTGCCGGTACCTGCGCTTCACCATGCGTCAGGCGAGAGAGATTTCGATATTTTAATCAACCCCCAGTTTATTAATCAGGGGATCTGGGTCGGCTTTGTGTCCCTGGACTCAAGGCCACCAAGTTATGAACCTCCAGGCCACAGTGAACATCAGTTCACTCATGTTGACCCCCATATATTAATCAACCAAGGGATGTTAGGACTTTTAACTTTTTGCAAACTAATGGGTTTTCCGTATTAAACCACTAGAAGTTAAACTTTTAGCAGGTGATCAGCAAGCAACCGAGATTTGGGGCGTGAAGCAGGGCCCCAAAATCCCAGCATAGGTCATGCCCCTTTGGTTTTTCAGCCGAGGTGAGAAGGACCTCCAAAAACTCCACACCCCAGCCCAACAATGAAAGAACCCAAATGTGTAACCTCTAACAAAACGATGTATCATACCCCAAACACCTCTTTTCAAGACGTTCAGTGTAAAGGGACCATGAACAGCACTTCGTTCCCAGCTTCCCCCTTCCCCCCCGACAAACTCCACACCCGCCCCCCTCAACCCTCACACCGGCCTCAGGCTTCAGGCCCCCCCCGCCCTTCCCTCCACACCCTCCACCCACAATCCGCAACCCTCCCCCCCCGCCCTTCCCTCCACACCCTCCACGCCCCCTCCCCCCACCCCCCTCCCCCCACCCCCCACCCCCCGCCCCGCCTCAGGGTCACCTGGACCCCTGGGGCTTCGGCGTCCGCTTCGGCCTCCGCTCCTTCGCGGCCCGCGGCTTCGACGCCGCCGAGGGCGACGCCATGAGAGCCTGGAGCGCCGCAGGCGGGCAGCGCGCGCGGGGTTTTGGGGAGGGGGGGGGGCCTGGGGTTCAGGCGGGCGCCGGTGGAAAGTCAATGGTTGGGTTCATGTAACCGCCCTTGTTTCTTCAGGCAGGCCACCATTCAAGCAATGGTTGGGTTCATTTGACCGCCCTTGTTTGTTCAGGCAGGCCACCATTCAAGCAATCTTTGGGTTCATTTGACCCTGGTTTGTTCAGTTGCTACCATTAAAACAATGGTTGGCCATGGTTGGCAAGGGTTGGGTTCATGTAACCAAAGGACTGTTTACCTAAAGTATGACAATTCATTAAAGGGGTTCATATGACCACCATTGTTGACCTAAGGGTCGTCATCATCCACATTTGACCCTGGGTTTAAGCAGACCACCAGTCAAACAATGGTTGGGTGCATGTAACCAAAGGACTGTTTACCTAAAGTATGACAATTCATTAAAGGGGTTCATATGACCACCATTGTTGACCTAAGGGTCGTCATCATCCACATTTGACCCTGGGTTCAAGCAGACCACCAGTCAAACAATGGTTGGGTGCATGTAACCAAAGGACTGTTTACCTAAAGTATGGGATTAAAGCGATGGTTGGGTTCATATCACCAAAGGATTGTTTACCTAAAGTATGAAATTAATTAAAGCGATGGGTGGGTTCATATACGCAACCATTAGTTACCTATCATGTGTCATCCAAATTGGGTCAACCATTCTTTTGATGCGGGTGGAACCCTAGGGTAGAGTGTATGTTGCAGACTCAAACCGTAAGAAACCGATATCCCAAATGACGGAGGTTGCAAAATAGACCACAAGTGTCCATCATAACGAGCGGGGTTTCCATCGTAACCAGAAAAAAGGGGCACTCTCAAGAATCAAGAATCAAGAAACACGCTATTTGGAGGAGGTGATGCGGGTGGAAACCCAAACATGGCGCACCAAAAGCAAGCCACATTTTCTAAATAATGGAAGAAAAGGATCCATGCGCCGGAGGTGGTGCCCACTTTTTGGTTATGTTTTGGGAATTAAGGGCAGGAAATCATATGCTCCCATCATATGCTCCCAGACCATCTTCATTAAAAGACGACTTGCCTGCCAGGTGGGTTATGGCATGCCATTTTGGCAAACCACTGCGCTCACGGACTTTGATTTCTTCATTCACCAAGGAATCTTGCCAAAAAGGGCAATCGGACCACATGAATTCTTCAGGCACCCGGCATTTGCATCAGGGAGGCTTTAACTTGGCAATGTGCGTTTGTTGAGGGTAGCCTTTTTTCCTGGGAAATCACAAGGAAGCCGAAATCCATTCTGGGGTCTGAATCCTGGGACTTACAATGGGGGCATACTACAACCAGACTTTTTTACGGTGCAGGGGTTTTCGGAGCCACCTTCAACAAATAAAGAATGTTTCCAGAGGCAGCTTCCCCATTCTTTCCGCAGATCTTTCTTTCTAGAAAACCGCCTTTCTTTGCTTTTGAAAAGAAGGATGTTTGAGAAAAACGGTTGGACTCCCAACATCCGCAACTTAGCAGGTCCTGCCCAACTTTCTTTAATTCATCGAAGCGAGGCACCTCCGGCGTTGTGAGCCGCTTGGGGCTGTGGCTGGCGCTGGAGCATCCCCGGAGCCGTTGCGAGGTGGAACCCACCTCTGAGGCCGGGACAAGTCTCTAAGGTTTGATTCCGCATTCTCTTCACTCTATTTAGAAACCACCTATTTTCCAGGGGTTTTGCCATTGTTTTTTGAAGAGAAGGATCCCTGAAGAGAATGGGGAGGGTACAGCTAGAACGTCACAAAAACCTCTGCCCAAAGCGACCAGACATGTTCCCCTGAAGCGATGAATCTCCACTAAAAGGGGTTGCTCCCAGTATGATTGCAACTCACTTGCCCAAAGTGAATCGACTTGAAATAGCCTTTTGGCTTCGCTGATTTGGTCCACAGCCAAGGTTCCAGAAGGACCTTTTGTTTCCAGATCAAAACTGGGTAAGTGGTTCGGAGCCATTTGCCTTGTGGTTACTGGGCTTGGGGTGTAGAAAAGCAGAGTCCTTGTGGTTTACGGCGTCACCCTCGCCGCTGCCTGAGTTGAACATGAGGAATACCGCCTTTCACTTCGTTCTGGCGTGTCACGCCGCTAGTGATTTTTGTCCCCTTTTAGGTTGGCGAGTTGAGTATTTCACGGGGGCTACGATTTTGATAGTGTTCAGCCCAATCAAAACCGGGTTTTGTGGGCTGCTTGGTTTTGAGCAGCAATTATTTCTTTCACACGTGTTGCTGGGGAGGAGTCCTTTTCATAGACGAAGCGCATGTGTGTGCGTGCGCATGCGCATGCGTGTGCGTGTGCGTGTGCGTGTGCGTGCGCGTGCGCGTGCGCGTGCGCGTGCGTGCGCGTGCGCGTGTGCGTGTGCGTGTGCGTGTGCGTGTGCGTGTGCGTGTGCGTGTGCGTGTGCGTGCCTTGCCTGCCTGCCTGCCTGCCTGCCTGCCTGCCTGCCTGCCTGCTTGCCTGCTTGCTTGCTTGCTTGCTTGCTTGCTTGCTTGCTTGCTTGCTTGCTTGCTTGCTTGCTTGCTTGCTTCCTCGCTGTCTCGCTTGTTTGTTTGTTTGTTTGCTTGGTTGCTTGCTTGCTTGCTTGCTTGTTTGTTTGTTTGTTTGTTTGTTTGTTTGTTTGTGTGAGCTGCCTTCCTTTTTCGTTTAAGGGAAGTCCCGCTTTTAGAACACGCTGCTCTGGTGAATTAAAGTTTTAGAGAAAGTTGCTTTGGGCTGTTGGACTCTTCGTGTTTTACCCGGTAAAAGTTTCCTGTTGGCAGGTAAAGTTGACATTTTCTGCATCCTTGGCTCTTGAGCGTTCAAGCTGAAGCCTGAGGTGTTTTTGCGTGTTTGCGGCGTGGAGGGTTGTTCCAAAACAAAGCTGCGCCCTCAGACGAGGCCTGGGGTGTTGTTTGAGCTGGCTTCATCTCGGCTTGCAGCTTCCCGAGGCCAGTTGCCTATGGCAAATTCGAGTGTCCAAGGCTATTTTTTTTTATTTATTCTTTTCGCGCTACATATGAAACAGAATCTGAGAATATAAATCTCTGTGTACCCCAGATGGTCCATGATACAGAAATCCAGCGCCATTGAAACAGACAGAAATAACGAGTATCCCCACGAGCATCGATGCGTCTCGTTGACTTGGAAGGCTTATGAAAGGCTTATTCTCTTCGTTGACGGGCAGGTGCTGCCAGCGGAGTGGGGGCCCTTCTTTTTCTTGTCGAAATCATTCTTTTCGACCTCCGCGGTTTTTCCAGTGATCTTTGCCGGCCAGCTTTTCAGAGGTTTCCCAGCATTTTTTTATCGCGAATTTGCAGGCCAATTGTCCCGGTTTTTCACACCAGTTTTTCCAAGTTGTTCTGCCCAGTCTGTTCGAGTTTGTCCGACCAGCTTTTTTTCCCAAGCTTTTGGCCAGCTTTTCCGCCAGAGTTGTTGCGGCCAGTTTTCTCCAGAGTTTTCCCGCCTGGATTTTCTCGAGTGTTCCCGGCCGGTTATCCCACACTCAGACCAGGACCTGCGCGCATCCAACAACCCAGAGTATGTTGTAGATCTGCTGTTGGTGATAAACCGGAATCTCTCACTACTGGAATAATATTTTCTTCCAGGGTGCTTAAGCAAATGGAAAAGACCCCGACCTGTGTCAGACCGACTGTGTATCAGACCTGGAGCTGCTCAGTGGCTTTCAGGCGGATTGGGGAATAGTCTAGCAACCCCATCTGACTGGTGGGGAACGAAGAAACAGACAGACAGACAGACAGACAGACAGACAGACAAACAACCAAACATTCATTCATTCCTTCCTTCCTTCCTTCCTTCCTTCCTTCCTTCCTTCCTTCCTTTCTTCCTTCTTCCTTTTCTTCCTTTCTTCCCGTGAGGGTCTCTCGTAGCGTAGCCTACAGCCTGTCTGCTGGGTGATCTTCGATCGCACACGCAAAGGAGCCTGCGTCGGAAATGGCAAATTGCGTGACTATTGGCAACTTGACATTGCAGTAGTCATTTTATCGTTCGCGGGCCGGGCCGACCATGGCCACGAAGAACGTCGCGAAACATTCGAGCTCACAGACACCAACAAACATACACACCAACAAACAACCAAACAACCAAACAAACAGTCAACCACAAAAACAAAAAGAGCAACCAAATAGCAAACAAACATACACCAACCAACCCACCAACCCACCGACCCACCAATCCGCCAACCCGCCAACCCGCCCACCCACCCACCCACCCACCCACCCACCCACCCACCCACCCACCCACCCACCCACCCACCCACCCACCCACCCACCCACCCACCCACCCACCCACCCACCCACCCACCCACCCACCCACCCACCCACCCACCCACCCACCCACCAACCCACCAAACCACCAACCCACCAACCCACCAACTCACCAACCCACCAACGCACCAACCCACCAACCAACCCACCAACCCACCAACCCACCAACCCACCAACCCACCAACCTACCCACCAACCCACCAACCCACCAACTAACCAACCAACAGACAGACAAACCAAGAAACGCCCCCCCCCCCCCTCCTTCCCCCGCTGCTGACCCGTGTAGCCAGGTCTGGCGCTGGGTCACTTGCTCCTTGCGCTTGGCGCGCTCCATGGGCCAGGTGGAGGTGTCTGCCTCTCTGGGCATCTTTGAGGATGGCGAGCCGCCCGGATGGACAGAGTCGGGCACTTTTTCTTTTTTTGGGGGGGGAAGGGCGATTTTGGAATGAACTTACCGGTGGTTTTGTAGACGCTGTTTCGAAAACTGCCTGGTTTTGTCTATGGAATGGGTGTTCCAACCCCCCCTCCGAATTTCAACGGGGATGAAATTAGTGGTAAATATCAAGTTCGGACTGGTTTTTTTGTCGAATCCACTCAGGAAGTCAGAAAAACCTAGGGAACCCTCAAGGAAAGGAACTCAGGGACAGGAAGGAAATCAGTATAGCGTCCGGAACCAAATCTGAAGTTGAAGTTTGAGGCCAGAAATGGGTTCTGATCGTGTGCAAAAAGGGGGGCAACCACGCGTATGTCCGAAAGGATATCAGGTTGAAGCCTCAAGAGGTAAGATATGGGCTCCAGCTTCACCAAGGGACAGTCATGCGTATAGCATCCGGTTTTCACACTTTTGTGTCACCTATGTACCCATGGGCCACCCAACATGGGGCACTCTTGGGGGCACAGCTCCTGTTCAAGATCGAGCTTGTGGTGCTGGCCGCAAGGAAGCGCATTGCGTTCCACAAGTGCTGATTGAATAAACGGTTAGTCCCCAATGCAGGCAATTTTGGATCAGGGCGCACGTCCCAGAGTGACGTTTTGCAACTTAGACATGTCACTTCCGCCCCCTCAAAACGCACATCTGAATTCCTCAGCCTTTTCCTTTTTTAGGTGAGGGAATATCGTCGGGAATGCTTGTTTGTTTTCCCTCCCTGTCGCCTAGTTTGCTAATCGCTGCAGTTCGTATTTGGATTGAGACTTTAAGTCTCTGCCCAAATGTGTGCCCCGGTCTCTTCTTTGCAGGCTAGTTGCTCCCATACACACGCAAACGAGTGAATTGCAATGTCTTGGAGAATGATTGGCAATGGGATATTAGCCAGGGTTGTGCATGCTGCATCTCGGGCATCCAATTCGCGGCAACATGTTTTCAGACGTCAGGAGTCTGTAGTAATTGAACACACGTATTTGTCCAGGCAAGCGTATGTGCAGCTTCTCTTAGAGAGGGGCTAAGTGGCTTGTTTCCGTTGCTGGCCTGCGGGGGAATCTTGCTCAGTGGTTCAAGGCGCGCGGCGAGGATAATACGAATTTATTTTACTTTATGTGTGTATTTCATGTATTTATGTATGTATTTATTTATTCATTTATTTATTGGGGGGGGGGAATCCTTTTTGTTTTAAGTGGACGCAAAAAAGAAACCCAGCTGTTTTGGGGTTCCCCCATTTTTGATCAGAGCCCGTTTTGGCGTGTGGCTGTGACCCAGCTGAACCTTACTCGTACGTGCGAAAGGTGTGTGCTCAGTATATAGTTGGTGGGTTTTCTGGGGTGGCTAATGCCTGTTCTTGTTGTGGGGGTAGGGTGCTGATTTTGGTCTGCTTTTGTCTCTTGGGTGAGCGTGCCTGTCTTGGAATTTATGGAGCGACCCTCTGAATCGTGTCGAATTTCTAAAACGTGCCTTTTTCGCAGCGGAACGTGTTAAGTTACTCCGAACTAAGCTCACTTGCCCAACGCGAATCGACCCGAAATAACCTTTTGGTCTCTCTGGTCACATTTAGTCAAGGATCCAAAAGATAGAGGTTCCGAAAGATAGAGGTTCCAAAAGATAGAGGTTCCAAAAGATAGACCTTCATTTCCAGGTCCAAACTGGGCAAGTGGGGCTTCTCTTTGCCCGCCGTTTCCCTCCGATCCGTTAACAGCGGCGGACCGAGGCACTCGCAGCTTCGGCGCAGCTTCGGGGCGTACCTGCAGCTAGCGCGGGGCCGGCCGTTTGGGCAGATCTTGCACTACAACAGCTGGTGCGCCCATAGGTGTCCTTTTTGGTTGTTTTGGTAGAAAAATAGGTGGCCCTGGTTTACCTGGTGGTAGGACACCTATGGGTGCGCCTGAAAAAGCTCTGGGGCCAAAGGCATGGACCACTGCTCTAGATGGGTGTGGCTCAAAAGTAAAGAGGCCAGGGCAAACCGCAGGTTTAGGTTTCGGTTTCCATTTGCCAAGGGGCCATTTTGGGGTACCATGTTTTGAGCCACGGCCAAATGTAGATTTAACCCTCTAGTCCAGTATTCGGCCTTTTTCTGGGGCCAAACAGTGGCCAGGTGCAAGGGGAAAGTGGACACATGAGTAATTCGCAGAACAGATGCCCTGAGAATTCCTTCTCGGGAAAGGGGGCGACATGTGGGGTCCTGTTTCAAGGTGTTTAAAAAAAAAGTCGTGCCGAGAGGTATGACCTGCGCAGCCCCAGCTGTTTGCAGTCGGCCGGGTGCCAAAACTCCCACGGCATGACGGAGGCGGGGAAAAAGGCGGCGAGGAACCCGTGTTCTTTTTTGTTGCTCAACACAGGTTACCCTTATTTGGTGGTTTGGGTTGGTGATTCGGGGATTTGAACCGTGGCTCTTGTAGAGGGTAGGGCAGCCATCCTTCCCTCTGAAAAGTGACACCCCCCTTAATTACATCGGGGTGTCAGTCCTCGGCTCCATTAACTTGAGCGCAACAGAAGGCTCAGTAGGTCATACGGTGGGGTGTTCCTTGCGCCGTGAAGGGCAAAGTCGGGTGGAAGGCAATTTTTTCTGAACGTGTTGAACGTTTGACGGTCTGCCGTGTTCATCTCTCTGCTTGGCAGGAAGTCAAATGGGCGCAGTCCCAAGCAGAAGTCGTCCAGATTCATGTCAGAACTTTAAATCATTCCATCTGCTCAAGCATGTTTTTCTTAGTTTCCCCTGATTTTAAAAGGGAATATCACTATTGGACATATTTTCTCATGTTCTAGAAGAAGCCGAAGAAGCAAATGGAGAAATGGTTGGTTTTCTCGCGGTATGTCCGGACAGCCACTTTCAGTGGGCGGTAGAATGGCCGGACTCTCGGGGGTTCATGGCATAGGGTTCAGGCTCCACAGGAGCCAGGCTCTTGCCTGGGCATGTCAAATTTTTGAGAGATCCCCTCCCACAAGCAGCCTCCTTCAAGAACCAACCAGAAAGGAGACACCACCAAACAGCGTACAAAGATGCACCACCCGTGGGAAAACCGGGAAAAACTGATGAATCAGTGTCGGCACCTTTCACATCAAACAAACCACCTTCATGAACCCGTCGGGGAACCCCGAAAGTGATTCCAACATGTTGAGTTTAAGCTTGTTTTTGGTGTTGGTTATTGTTGGGTTTCCCTAGTGTTGTCTCAACTGACGAATCTTCCCTAAAAGGGTCCCCGATCAAAATGAACCAGGGGTTCATTTATCCGGGGTTCACACACACTGCTCCTGAGGGCAGTGCCTGAGATGCTGTAAGGTGTTCACGGCAGTTCCCCCAACGAGGATTTTCAAAGTCTCCTGAAAATGCACAGAAGGAACCCCAAAAAAAGATAGTTTTAACAGGAGATTTCTCCGTTGGGACGAAACCATGTTGACCCCAAATTCACAGCAAAAGTCGTCCCTCCGGGGGGGCATGTGGCCCCCTGCAAAGATGATCAACTCCACCTTCCAAGGGGACTCAAAGCTTGCTGGTGCTCAGTAGGGAGTGAGGGAATGAATCTGGGGGCCCCCTTGGAGGAAATCACCAGTTGGATGGTTTTTTGTCGGGGTCCTTCCATTTCACATTCCCTGCATCTCTCGCACTAGCAAAGGAAACAAAGTTCTGCTAGGTCCCCCAGTAGTGCCCTTTCTCTCCCCTTTTTGGGTTGGGAGGGTCCCCCTACTAAAATAGACTACAGAAAAGAAATCGGGCACCAACTTATTCTAACCTCTCAAACTACCGGAGGACCTAGTTTTGGTTTCCCTTCAAGAACCAACCAAACAGGAGACACCACCAACAAAAAAGATGCACCACCTGTGGAAAAAAACGGGAAACACCACTTCCCGGGATCACCGGCGTCGCCCTTGGCGCGGTCTTTAGGCCAGCTGCCTGGAGCGGCTGCAGCAGATCAACGGGAACCTCAGCAAGGAGGGCGGGAGATCCATGGACGCCTTCCTGCGCCCCGGCTTGACCCACAAGGCGGGTTCACAGGATTCGGCCCTTTCGGCCTTTGGCTGGAAATTGGCTGCTTTTGTGGTTGTTGTAGGGCTTTGGGTGATTTTGGCTATGGGGCATAACCTATGGCTCCATTTTGAGTTGGATGAACCTCCATTTGCCACCTATTTCGATGTTCACCAGGGGTGCAGGGTTTTGACCCACAGCCATTTTGCTACAAAAAACGGTTGCTGTGGGTTTTGCGGGTGGGGCTTTTGGGCTGTCAGGGCCCCCTTCCAAGGCTGGACGACGGCTGGGACCAGGCCGACAGCTTGTGGTCCGTGGACGCGGGCAGCTTCCCGCGGTCCTTCGAGCCGCTGGTGGCGGAGGGCGCCAAGTGGGGCACCAGGTCGGGTCGCGAGCATCAAATCCCAGAGATTCTTGCCCAGGGTTGTGGGATCGCTCGGGGTTTCTCCAACCACTTCTGTGATACAAGGGAATCCTCCTTTGTATGAACACACTAGTTTTGGGAAGCCCTTTCCGTTGTATCACAGAAGTGGTCATTCCCCACATCCCTGTTCTTGCCGATCTCAAATAGATTTCAGCAAAGTTGGTATGGCATCTTCAAAAACCATTTGAGCAACTCAGGAAAGCTCACCGTCTCCTTCGAGCCACCCCAAGTTTTTGGTGGGAGTTTTGGGGTTCCTACGGGTTTGAGCTACCAGGGCGAGTCAAGTCGACCACCCAAAGTTTTTGTGGGAGGCCTATGGTGCTACGGGTTTGAGCTACCAGAGTTGGTGCAAGGAAAAGCATGTATTGGAGTAGGGGAAAGAAGAAACAAAAAACGAAGGCGGGTAATAGATCGGGGAACCCCCAAAATGGCGAGTTTCGTCTTGGCTTCCTGGCATTGGTCGACCTCCCGTACAGGGCCGTATTTGCCGGTATGGCCATTTTGTTCGGTCATTTGATGAAACACGTATTTGTTCAACATTTGGTTGAAGCAAAGCCGTAAAAAGCGGTATGGCCATGTTTTTTGGTCAAAGGCGTATGACCCCAAAAAGAAAAGGTCAGGTTCCTTTGTACGACAACTCCAAAATGGGTACCATCAAAAAAGAAAACACTCCTATATTTCCCCCTTGCGTGGGTTTGTTCACACCGCCTTTGCGGCCCAGTTTAACGTGAGTTTCCTTTAAGTCGGGTGATGTTTATGAGGAAATATAGGGCCGCCTTTTTTGGGATTGGGACGGCGTGCTCCCCTGTTAAATTTACCACAAAATGGCACCCTCCCAAAAAGACATGCCCAAGCAGAAAAAAAGTGTGCCAAGTTCTATTGTCCCAGCTGAATCCACTGGAAGTCTCATGGTACCTACCGTACCTACCCCCAAAACCCCAGCATCACTCTCCACCAGAAAAGTTAAGGTATGCAACCTCGTTGGTCCATTTGTTTGTTGTGTGCCTGTTGGGGCGTTGTTTGAAGATGCGAAGCTGTGGGGCATGCCTTGAGGGTTTGCCCCCGTTCTTTGGCCATGGGTTGGTGAGTTGGGGCTCGGCTTTTGCGCTCCAGATGGAGATTCTTCGGCTGAGTGGGTGGCTGGGTTGATGGGCGGGTAGGTGTGGCTGGGTTGCTGGGTGGCTGGATTAGCCTGCTACTTTGCACGGGATGGCGGCTGCACGATGGTTTGTGAGTCTCACTTGTTTTCTGAGGGGCAAGGGTGGAATAAATCACCCAGCCTTACCTTTCACCAATATGCCAAAGTGTCCCTTGCTGGTGCCCTACACCAAGGGTGACTTGCCGGAGCTCCCAGCCTTTTTCGCAGGTGAATTAAGTGGCCCGCAAAATGTGTGGTTTTCCTTTTGGTGTGCCTTTAACTTTCACCCGCCAAACCAGGGGTATAGCCCAAAAGAGCGACAGACCCACATTCAGTCTTGTGGTTCCAAAAGGCCAGGTAACTGGGCACTTTCTGGGTGAAACAATCCACTGCCAGGCTTGGAGTTTGGATGTCGCCCTTTGGAGGACGGGGGGTGGCTCCGCAGATCTGATCGCAGCCGCCCTGTGGCGAAATTTCATGATTCCCCCCAGTGTTCAACCCCCATTAAAGCATTAAAGGAATGGTTGACCCAGTTTGGAGGATGACACTTCTAAAGAATAGGGGTTATATGAACCCCCCCATTGCCTTCGTGGCGGTTTGAACCCCGGGGTTCATGATGTATCACCTCATTTTTGGGGGTTGATCAAATTTCCCGGCCCCCGAATGACCATGGGTCACATTTCCCATCCAGTGGGACATATAAAAACAATTCCTGGGTCTCCACAATTCATATGGCCAGGAATTTTAATAGGGAACCCCCTCCAAAGTGCTTGGTGGACATTGATCCCCAGCCAAATGGTGTTTACCAAAGGGCTCCTTATTAAAATTCAGACCCATATGGCAGTGGCTCAGAATTGAAGAGCTAGGGTTACGCAGGTTTTGGTCCATTTTTCCACTTGCCAGGGCAACCCATTTTGGTGCTGGTTTTTTGAGCCAGACCCATATTGTGTGTCGATCAGGTTGCGTCTTGTGATTTTGTGAGGGTCTATCGTCGGCCCTCCGCAGGCTCTAAGAACCAGCCACGTGTTCACAGCCTCAGGGCCACACAGGAGTCAGAGCGAGCAAGGCTTCAAAGGCGGCGGTCTGTATACGTCCATGTACGCACCCCTGGTATGAACCCCTGGTTTATGGGTTGCTTGACTGTCCGTCATGGATTAATTGTGGGAAACCAACCCCCAGGTCCAATATGGCCATGGGTTCATATATGGACCTATACAATCAGCCTATGAAGGCTAGGAATGTGCACATGGGGGTCCGAGCATGCCACGATCCTGTTTCGTGCCCGGCATTTGTTGAGCTAGGGGCTTTACTGCATGGTTTGCAGCAGACGTGTTTTTTTTTTGGGGGGGGGGCAGTTGTCGCGATTTCCAGGCTTTGCACGATGTGTTGCAGCAAAATAGTGCCGAATCCGTGTGGTTCCACGAGTAATTTGACGCTCTTTCTTCCTGGGTTTCCAGGAGCAAGTGCTTTTTATGCCAGGCGAAGTGGTGTTTTTGACTAAACTTTATTCAACAATGTTTAGCCCGCAATGTGCATTCATAAAACATAACCTTGGACCCTTTTTCACGGGTCCAGTATTCCCCTGATGCTCGGCAAGCCCCCGCGACGCACATGCCGCCGGGCCTTCGGCCGCCTACGGCGGCCAGGCTACGGCGCGGCCGGGGGCCGCAGGGTGCGCTTCGGCGCCGCGCGGGGCTACGAGCGCAGCCACAGGGGAGGCGGAGACGCGGCGACTCGGGTCGAGTCGGTCGAGCGGGGGAGGTGGGGTGGGGCCACCCACGTGGCGGGGGTTGGAGAAGCTCCAACGCCTGGAGGCGGAGGTTGGGGTAGGAGGGATTCCTGCGGTTGAAAAGTTGAAGCCATGGTTTATAGACACGATTGATTTGAAAGCTATTGCCTTTGAAGTCCCGCTAGGCAACCTTTTGGGTTGCTATTGTTGTGCATTGGCTTGCCAAGTCGGCGCATGGGGCAACATCCCCATTGGATTAGACCATCTCAGTGGAGTACACGCACGCACCCAAGGGCCCATCGGTACACCATGCCCACTCCCAGGACCCTCGAATCTCATGCGCTAATGCGAGGCTCAAACTCTAGTGGATTGCCAGCATGGAACACGGCTTTCAACCTCCGACTTAGGAAAGGCTGAGCTGAGTTGCAAGCAAAAAAGACATGCCCTTTCTCCTGAGCAGCCTGTGGACAAAACAAGAACCCTCCCACTGCTCATCGAGCAATTCAGGCACTTCCAGCACACCCGAAACATTGGACTTGTACATCGCTGTGCCCGAAACAGAGGGCCTTTAGTTGGATGCCGGGGTGCGCCGTGGCGAGACTCGCAGGCTTTGCGCTGGCTGGGCCCAAGTACTTCCAAGCCTTTCGGTCGGTGGTACGCACTCGCATTGCAGAAGGCCTCGCGACTCTGGGATTTGCAAAGGGGAATGTTGCTTCAAGCCTTGAACAGTCTCGGCAGGTTGCGTACTGGCTTTTCAGATTGGATCAGCTGTTGAACTTGCTTGTACGTGACGCTTGGATTGCTATGCGCTTTTGCTCATGGGCCTTGTGAGCGGCACCTGAGTGTTCACCGCTGGGTGTGGCCTGGGGGTATGTGAGGTTGCGCCCACATCATTGTGTGTTACGTACGGCTTCGATCAGAGGGTTGATGAGGTGGTTGTACAGCTACTTGCGCCGCAGATGGTTTATGTCTCCAGTATTGCAATTCAGAAACGGCATGTTTTGATGTGACAGACTTGCAGATGAATCATGGGTTGTGCTTATTTGAGATATCACGCCTCACTTGTTTTCGGTGTGTGGTCTCTCTTAGACGCCTTGGTTGCATATCAGGTGAGAAACGGGGCAGGTGAGCACTGGGACAGGTCGGTTTCAAGGCTGACTGAGGGATGTTGTCTTGCTCCACAATGTTGACCCCGGATGAATAAACCCTTGGTTGATTCATACGGGGGTGTGCCCTTTTTTCCGCGGGGATTCATCACTTTTGGGGGCCCGCCCCAATTCACAGGACGGGTTTATTAATCCGGGGTCAACAGAGCCGGCCACGGCTCTGGGATGCCTGGTGTGGCCCATGACCCCAAATTGTCAGGTCGCCCCTGCAAGTCTCCAAATGGGTCTGACTTTTTTTGAGGTTCATGTTTTTAAATGGTTTTGAAAGGAATCAAAAGGCAAACCGCCAATGTGGGGTCCAGACCAAAGGCCACACCCAAATAGGTCTTGGGGGTCTTCGTCGCCTTCTGCAGGCTTCCGGCTTTTCAAGTTCGACGGCCTTGGTGGTGGCTTAGGCGCGAGGGTTTTATTTTGTACACGTGGGCATGGTTCAATATAGGGGGATGGTGGGTTCCTCTTCATTTCCCATGAAACCAGACCCTGAAACGGGTACCCTCAAAAAGACACTCATGCCTTTGTTGTTGCCCTTGGTAAAAGTAAAACATACATTTACCCTCAGCACAACTTGACAAAGCCATACCACAAAATTCCCTCACCCCTAGAGCTTATTGGTTAACAAACCTTCAGCTTGCACCCAGGCCGACGAGCGAGTGGGTTGGTTTAAGGCTCCACCCGCCTTGGGCGAGGTCAGAGCGGCGGGGAGGCGGACCGGGACGACTTTGAGGCCATGCTCAGCTTGATCCAGGCGCGCGCTGTGCGGGTCCCGAGTTGGTGGAGATCGTTGGGGCCTCGGATTCGTGTTGCTTTTGGAGAAAAAATAACTCGACTTATGAGTCAGAATCTGGTTGGGCCAAGTTTAGAGGATTTGAGATGCATGTGCATCGATGAGGCCCTTTTGCCCTCAGTCCTCCGATGGACATATTTCTCACCGCAGTGCCTTGGAAACAATTGTCTTCCAGGACCTTTAGTTTGAAGAACATCTTGGGTATTGAAGAAAGGGCATAGTCTTCCATGGACCCAATGGACATAGTCTGCGGGTTTCTCCCTTCAGAAAATCCGGAAATCTTTTCGGGCTCCCCGGTTGAACCGCGCAATGCTCCCATGGGAGGGCACCCTCCGGCGATGAAAATGGCCCATAGGCCATGTGAGAAGAGCAAGGCCCACACGGGCGGTGCAGCGGCACGGGTTTTTTTAGGGAAAAAAGGGTGCTCAAGCATGGACTCCGCAACTGGCCCCCTCTTCATCAGCCGAGCGGCAAACTGATCCGATAGCGATAGCAAAGCGAATCTTTTGAATCAAGTTTTGATCGCCGGGTGACTTTGCGGGAATCACTTTGCGGGATCGCCTGGTGACTTTGACCGTTGGTAACCTGCTGGTATGTCCTATATGCCAGCAATTGGTAGAACACTCGGTTTATCATTTTGGGTCCTGGATATGTCCTTTGTTGAGGGGACATTTTGTTTGTGGCGTTTCTGAGGGCAACCAAAGGGACAACCTCCATTTTGGAGGTCTAACCTCAAAAAAAGAGGGAGAAACGCTGAACTGGCATGACCCACGGGGTATCGAAATTTCTCCCTATGCTGGCTTGTTTGCTTGCGAACGGATTCGAATCGGCGTGGGATTCGGTTCCGCAGGGTTTTTCTTTTCTTGCGGGGATGATGGCTACGACAGGGCCCCAGGGACTACATATGGCCGGGGTCCATAGGCCACATGGTTCCATAGGCAATATGGCTCCATAGGGCGCCCTGTAAGTTTTCGGTCCTTTGGTTTTCTTGCCCAGAGGCCCTTTATAGCCCAGAGCCTCCTTTTTCAGTGAGGAGCTCCGGCCAGAGCAGGAGGACTTGTGGATCAGCCGCTGTGGCGTAAGGTCTGGGCTCAGCTTTTCACTGGCTTGACTCCTTTCGTTGAGTGGTGTTTCGAAAGTCAAAGGGAGCTTTGCAAGTAGACCGGTCCGCACAAGACTTTGTCTTACCTGGGGCCAGCCTTTATGGCAGTCTAAGAAGATGTCGTCCCTTCCGACCGAGGATGGAAGATGTTTTAGTAACTTCTTGCCTGGACCACCCCATGGGTTCCTGAAGGGTGACTGCAGTTTCTCGAGCCTCGGACTTGGCTTTCGGTGGAGGACCTGAGCTCTTCGGTTTGGTTTTTGTCACCTTTTGGGTCGCGCCTTGCGCGGCGCTCGCGAACGATGTGGGGAAGTCCTCCTTTTTTCTCAAGGCGCAATGAAGGAACTTCAGACCTGACCCAGGTCCATGGAATCTTCCACACTGCCCAAACACAACATCCTTGCTTTGAGATACGACAGCCTCACCTGTGATGAAGGTGCTTCAGGCTCCTGATGTGTGTTGGATTTGCTGGCTTCCCAGCGGACAAATCAGTCACCATTGGAGACGCGATAGAGCCACACGCTTCCACCATTCAGTTCTATGGGTCTTTCGTCCAGACGTCCAAAGAGGTGTGAGGGAGGAAGACACACCACACATGGCCCCCCCTCAAAATGATTGGCGGACTGAAATCTCCATGTAAGTGAGGCCCAACCAAAAAAAACCCACGTTTGTTTTGGTTCAGAAACTGGAAAGACCCTCCACTTCGGGTTTCTCGCGAGATTCGATGGAGCGAGGGTGGTATGGCTCAGGGATATGGACCCGAAATGGCGGAAAGCCTCAAAAACATGCCTAAATGTGGGTATGAATTCTATTTCAGGACCCTCTGACATCATTTAGGTGGGGATTTATGTCCGCTAGCCACTTTTGAGGTGGTTCTCCAATAGATGAACTTCTAGCCGACTTTGGAAGCCAAGGGATCAGCAACCTTCAGCTACCCTACAAATTCACAGACGGCGCACCAAAAAAGGGCCCCAAAGGAGATTCCGATCCCCAAAATGGCGGGTTTTTGGGTTCCATCAAGCTCCCCTGCCAAAACTCGCCCGTAACGACTGTTAAACCAAACTACCAAAAATGATCATAGGAAAATCATGTGCATAGATGTTCTTTTTAGGTTGCTTCGAAATAGATGGGCCCCACTGGTTTAGAAGGCGCTTATGCCGCATTTACCAGGAGAATCCATCTATGTTTCCCAACAGGCCACCTATCATGCGTGACACTATTCTTCCATTTGCTTAAGAACATTTTTTGTTTGCCCCTGTTAGGTTTGAAGGCAGTCTATCACTACTGGAAATATGTTTTTTTCCTTTCGGAGGGCTTAAGCAAATGGAAGTATTTCGCCAAACTGTTTGCTTATTTTTTCTCAGTTCCCCCCCCACCCGGTTCGCCAGACGAGTTGTGGCAGGGTTTTTGTATTACACCCTGGGATTACACCCTTGGGAAATGACCCAGAATGGTTCAAAACAACACGGTTTTATCCGGAAATGTGTAATCCAATTGGGGTCAACACCCAAGTGTATTCTTAGGGTGTACAAAAATCCTTAGATTCGGAGGTTGTTTTCCAGTTACACTCTGGAAGAACCAAGGGCTCAAATCCCCACACCACCAATCCAAGCCACCAATTAGGAACTCAATCCTTACACAGTTTTCCAGCAAACCACTAAAACAAAAACTTTTAGCAGGGGAGCAGAAAGCAACCGAGTTTTTGCAGTTCCCCGCCCACCCGGTTCGCCAGATGAATTGCGGCAAGTTAAAAACGCCCGAGGCCTGACAATCGGCACTTGGCCGTCGCCCTTCTGGCTGCTATGGGCGGCTGCTTGTGGCTCAAATCCAGCGGCCAGTTTTTTTCCGAAAGACATGAGTTCCCCTTTTGGTTGTAATAAGATCACTTGGGCGTTTAACGTGTTTCCCCCCCCCCCCCCCTTTTTCTGCATCTGTTTTTTTGGTTGGGCGTTTTACCGTGTTCCTTTTTGGTTCTGCACTTTTGCTTTTTGTTGGTTGTTTATCTCTTCTTCTTTTTTTCTCGTGAGTTTGCTTGTGGGGTGATGTTTAAACAAGTGGGAGTAGACAGAGCCGGCAGGGCGACACTCGACACTCCCGCAATCGGACCTGAGGTTGAAGGAACAAATGAAGACCCAACCAAGTTGAGACGTGCGAGAATCCTGGACAGCTTCCAACTGCGAGCTCCTATTATGGGAGCACCCAATTTGCTTCGACTCATGCCACCAGTTGCAGGTTTAGACTTAGTTTCGTAGCGTGACATTGACTGAACAGCATTTCCCCCTTGTTGGACTAAGCTGCAACCCACAAGGACATTTCTACACTACCCCAACCTTCCGCAACTTGAGAAGGGGGGGAGGATCCAATGTTTCGGTTTGAAGGTCAGGTTAGCTTCATCCAAAAAACAAGCTGGTCCTCGTTGTTGTCGCATGTTGCGGTCGCGGAACCAGCCAGCTGGGCATGCAGAGCCATGCCTGCGCAAAGTACAAGCGAGCTCACCGATTCGGGGGGGAAATGCGGACACCCATGTTGGAGGTCCTTTACACAAGGGGATTGCTTATCCCGTTCTTTTTTTTTTAGTACTAGAGTTCTACCCAGATGCCAGGGATGCTGGTCTTCACATGCGCTCAATGCAGTACTGCAGGACAAACACGACAACACTACGTCAAAGATGGATCAAGCATTCAGGGTTGCGATGAGGTTTTAAAGGAGAACCCAAAGGCCCAAAGGAACCCCACTTCTGTATTCTTTTTTGGTTTGGGGGGCTTCCAAAGAAAACACACGGAAGTCACGGGGAAGTTGTTGAAATCAACACATACGGGATCGGGACCCTTGAAGCTGCCAACCAACCTGCCATACTGTTCTGCACTCTTTTTCCATACTCCTGTCCATGCCGTGTGGAAAAAGGTGGTTGGCAGCAACCAACTGGGTTCAAAGGCATGCTAATTCTATTTGCTCGTCTTGTTTCCCATTAACAACTGTCAACCAACCCAGGTCCAATTCGTCTACCGAACCTGTGGCCAGCCGGCGGGTGCCCAGTGGTGCTAGATTCCTCTGAATTCCCAATTTTTCTAATCAGATGGGTTTCCCACAAGAACCAATCAAACAGGGTGCCAACTTCTTCCCGACGGGTCACTGCCCGGAGTTGTGTGTCGCAACATTTGCAAAAGGTGAAACACTTTACTTTGGGTGTGACATGGTGTGCCTTTTTGTGAGGGTACCCGTTTTGGCGTCTCCACAAGGCAACCTACCATTGAAGATTCTCACTCATTTCCGTTTAGTAGGTTGCCAGCACAGAAAACATAATGCCAGGTACTTTGCCCTCCAGACTAACAAACATGGAAGTGCACGGGCCTCCTTTGGAAAACTGCTTTTCTTTTGTTGACTCTCATTGCATTTGTGGTTTTTTTTTCAAAAGCGCGGTTGACACTTGGCTTTTGGTGACCTTAGCCCCTTGTTTTTGGAAACATACGGAAACCCCGAACAACTGGCCCTTCCGCAAAAACAAATGGACAAGATCAAGACCAAGCCATTTCTGGTTGTCCCTCCGTTGATTTCCGGTGGGATTTGGGCCATACGAATCAGAGACTGGAGCATTTCTACCAGAGCTGTAGCGCATGTTCAGCTGTGCTCAAGACCAAAAAGCAAATGGCCTTTCCACCAAAACACAGAAGGGCCTTTGCCACTAGAAAGGCTTTTACGTCCGCAGTCCGCCCATGGCTCGTCTGACTCGCGCCTGGCTCGCGCCGTCTGGTCCCAGGACTCCATTTGGCGCGACGGCCCGGACGTGGGCTCCGAGCTGGGGGGCTCCGCGCGCGACCGCTGGCTCAGCTTCCGGGACAACGCCCTGCGCGCCTTGGACGAGCGAGGCGGCCGATGCCAGGCGGCCAGGCGGCCAGGCGGCCAGGCTGGCCACTTCCAGGGTGCGGCCAGGCCCTCTGTAGGTTCGGCAGCTTGATCTCCTCCCCCTTGCCTGAGCTGGGAAGGTTTCATTCCCGTTGCGACCTGCCCGCATTCTGAAAGCAAGCAAAGGCCAGTTTCCCCCTTGGTGTCCCTTTGAAATGGAGAGCATAAAAAAAAGAACAAACACAAAGGCATCCAGGGTGGTGACACACGGTGCCTTTTTTTTTTTTTTGGGCAGGCCGCGTTTTTTTTGGGTTGTGATTCCAGCCAAAAAGGCACACCCAATGGTTGTGGAAGGTTTGGTGTTGCCACTTGTTGTGATACTGGACGGACAAATCCACAAGATGGTGGTTTATCCCAGAGGGTTTCATCCATCCCAACTGGTGCGGAAATTTGTCCATCCACAATACCAAGGGAAACCCCTTCAAAGGTATGACGAAGTCCTGGGAATGGTCCGCAATAATAGCGCAACAAGGGTGGATTTTTCCCAACCATCAAAACACCCAATATAAGGGGCTAGATGATTATGATCACGAGGTAGTTTGGCTTTAGAGTGATTGAGCCACCCCCCCCATTCTAAGTATTTGCCCACTATGAAAAAGGGCCTTCCACCCAAACATGGGATTTATCCTGCCCCTTCATCGGAAAGTTCAACTGGGGTTGTGACAACAGTGCTCAAAGAAGGTTCAACTGGGTTATTGATTGCCTGCCGTCCGCTGTTTCATTTCCTTGGGCGGGCGCACGTGCACTTTGCGCACGCACGGATTTTTGCCCTAATTGCAGAGCGCCAGCTTTGCAATGCAGGACCTCCCCCCCCTTTCCAGCTTTCAGGCAAGGTCGTGATCTCACAGGCCGCAGTTCAGAGGCTTGACTCATTGAGCTGGTCTTTCAACTCTTTGGGTTTGGACCGTTGCGCGAAATGAGCACTTCAGACTTTCCTTTGGCCAATCCACTCGGGAAGTGTTGAAGACGAACCACGAGCGAATGTGAGCGACACATTTTGTTGGACCTTCTTGTGTGAATGCCTAGCCAGCTTAGTTCCGCATTCCTGTCAACCATGGCATGACAGGCTCCTACGGCGTACGGGCGTGGTTTTTCAATTTTCTTTGGGGAACTCATTGGGGTCCGTGTGTGGGAAGCTCAAGATGAAGGTCCGTTTGCGTCTGCGTGGGGATTCCTTGCCGCTTTGTAAATCATTGCCCCGGATCCCCTTGTCAGTTGTCAACAGGCGTGGCCGCTCGGCTTGTCGATGCCTGGCCTCAACGGCAAATGTATTACTGTATGGCGGCACGGAATGGGCCTGTCTTTCATATTTTTGGTGGACCCTTGTTTTCTTTTGCGGCTTCAAAGGGAAACCAAAAAGAGCACCGCAGCCAGAAACGTCTTACCCTTTTCTCGTTCAGCTTCTTTTTTTCCCCCCTTCGCCCCCAAAAATAATTGAACATATTTATTAAGCAGACATTTCCCCCCCAAGTTAATTGAACATATTTATTCAGCAGCCATTCCTTCCCCAAAGTTAATTGAACATATTAATTAAGCAGCCATTTCCCCCCCCCCCCAAGTTAATTAAGAACATATGAGCGACTAACTTTATTTACCTTAATGGGGCTGGAACTATTTTTTTTGGAAACGTGCATATTTAGCCGCAGAACGAGTTGGGGAACACCCCGAAAACGAGATAGGGCAAACAAGCATGATAACATGGATTAGGATGACATTTTGTCAAGTGCAGCCTGGCAGAGCGTCTTGGGTTCAAGGTTGTTAGCTGTAGTGTAGAGTAGACGACCTACGTCGCATGGTCCGTGGCAACTTACCACAGACTTTCCGGGGCAAGTACTGGCCAACCCTACGATGCCTAACTGCAAAAGGGTGTGAAGCAAACTTGCGAAGAAGCAGCGTGGCTGGTTTGTTCAAGATTTGCCCCTGGGCAATTTTCAGCCGTCCAAAAGCGGGCCATGTTAAAACGAGTTCCAAAACGAGTTCAAAACGAGTTCAGAACGAGTCCCCTACAGCGTCCAAGTGAGTATTGGCCCAGTTCCTCCTCTCAAGTATTACTTTTCAACAAATTGTGTAGCAGCAGTTTGCTTAGCGAAAGGTTGCGCGGCAACAACGAAGGAGACAAAGGAGGCTGCAAGCTAACCAAAGCTCGTGTACTTCTTTAAGCTCCTCTTCTTCAAGCTCTACAGAAAGTTGAGCCAGATAAAACGAGCGCGGTGTTGGAAAACGAGATAGGGGGCTGCGACCGAGCGCAGGGTTGGAAAACGAGTCAGGAACACCCGTCCACTATGCCATGTAACAAATAAAAGCCGTTGCTCATATATTAGGGTCTTTTTGGGGGTAACCCCAAAAAACCAAAAATATCCCCCCAAAGTTAATTGGTAGCCGCCCCCAAAAAAACTCGACACGCCCCATTGTCCGCTTGGCGCCGGGCGGGCCGATGCCGCTCGCTCTGAGACGCGGCGGCGCCCGAGGCCGCGCACACCTCCGGGGGCCCTTGTTCCCAGTGACCGCGTTCATGCAGCGCCTCGGAGAGCTACCGGCCGGCTGAAATGAATATGTTGTGTATTGTTATTATTGTTATATTTTTTGTATTTGTGTGTGTGTATGTTTGTTTTTATTGATTTATTTATTATCATTATTATTATATTATTAGTACTAAAAGGAACCTACCACAACTGGACACATTTTCTCCTTTTTTCCAGGGGGCTGAAGCAAATGGAAGGAAAGCTGCCAGCTGTCGATGGCGAGCCGAGCAGTTCTCTTGTGCATTGAGAAGGTTTGCCTGCGACTCATCCAGGAGTTGAAGTGTGAAGGGTTTCTGCCAGGGAACAACAAATGTTTGCGACTGCCATTAGTAATGCGCTCCAATGGTGCTGGGGACTCGCCAGGAGAGGCTTGTTCCTGAATTTTGTTTCAGCTTAGTGCCAATTTGCGTGGGGAATTCGGTTCAACACCAAAAAAAACTTAAGGGTAAGGCAGCTTGATGCGCATGCTGAAAGGGGTTTGGGGTCATCTAAGCAGAAATGAGTCTTGGCCGCCAAGAGGAAAGGGCTTGAACTGCTTTCCGGGAAAAACTTAACTATGAAACCGCCTCTTCTGTACGAGCAAAATGCGTTGTGTTGGAGCCCAAATTCTGCTCGTATTTTGGCAGATTGGGCTTGCGTTTGCGGCAATTGCGAGTTTTCACAAAGAAAGCAGTGATCTGCAACAAATCCTGCATGGGCACATTTTTTAGGGTTTTGGCCACACGCTACATAATACGGAGCAGAACGTGTTTTTCTTGGTAGGCGTTTCTCAGAGGCCCCAGGTTCCCCGTGAACCAACTCCGAACAAGCTCCGAACGAACAAACTCCGAACGAACTCCGAACAAGCTCCGAACGAACTCCGAACGAACTCCGAACGAACTCCGAACAAACTCCGAACGAACTCCGAACGAACTCCGAACGAACTCCGAACGAACTCCGAACGAACTCCGAGCGAACTCCGAACGATCTCCGGACAAACTCCGGACGAACTCCGAACAAACTCCGAACGAACTCCGGGCGAACTCGGAACAAACTCCGAACAAGCGAACAAGCTCCGAGCGAACTTTGGCATTGTTCCCGAGCCAACTCCGAACACACTTTGGCCTTTTGGTGGCCAACCTGTTTTTTTTGCTTTTTCGGGCTTACCAAAAGAGGCCAAGTGATTACAGGGGCCAGTTTCAACAAGTGGCCTGGGAAGGTGTTTTTTGAGGCAAACAAACATGTTGTCAGGCCACTTGTTGAAATTAGTTCTTTTGGTCACTAGATTTTCCTGTTATGTATGTTTCGGGCTGGATTTATTTCCCGGACAAGCGCCAAACAAACTTTGGCCATATTTTTCTTTGGGGGAGCTGATTTTGGTGTGTCGGCCTTAAGTTTCAGTTTTTTCGGCTTTGTTTTGTTTTATTGCTTGTTTTTTTTTTCAGGCTGTGATTTTTGCTTATTGTTTTTTTTCGGGGCGTAATTCTTGCCCCGGACGAACTCCGAACGAACTCCGAACGAACTTTGGCCTTAAGTTTTTTTTGGGAGCTTATTTTTCTTTCGGTGTTGAACTTTTTGGGTTTTGGTCGCACAAAATCACTGGAATTACAGCTTGTTGATGCGTTTTTCGTACAAATTTAGTGTTACCAGGGCAAAAAAAACATTGACACATGCTTAATCCAGGCTTTTCATGCAAGAAAACAGCTATTTCATACGACCAAAATCGGGCAAGCCATTACACAAATCGGGCAAACCCTTAAGTTCAACACCGGTGTTGAACTTAAGCTCTTTTTTTTGGAATAATATTTTTTTCCCGGATTAAGCCTTGATCAAAAGGATTAAGCTTTGTTTCAGCTTCAACAGCGAGCCTCAGCGTCAACCAAGCTGCGTGATCACCCCGGTAGCGATTTTAGCCCTCCGCAGCTCTGAAGTCCTACAAATCCGGCCCTGAACTCCTTCCCAGGCCACTTGTTGAAACTGGCCCCTGTAATCACTTGGCCTCTTTTGGTAAGCCAGAAAAAAGGCAACAAAAACAGTTTGACCGCCAAAATACTTAGGCTCAAAAACATGCTTATGGCCAAAGTGTATTCGGAGTTGGCTCGGGGGTTTGTTCGGAAATCGACCAATGACAAAGCTTGCTCGGAGCTTGTTCGCTTGTTCGGAGTTTGTTCCGAGCTCGCCCGGAGTTCGTTCGGAGTTCGTTCGGAGTTTGTCCGGACTTTGCTCGGAGTTTGTTCGGAGTTCATTCGGAGTTCGTTCGGAGTTCGGAGTTCGCTTGGAGTTTGTTCGGAGTTGGTTCACGAGGAGCCTGGGGCCTCTGAGAAACGCCTACCAAGAAAAACACGTTCTGCTCCGTATTATGTAGTGTGTGGCCAGAACCCAAAAAATGTGCCCATGCAGGATTTGTTGCAGATCGCTGCTTTCTTTGTAAAAACTCGCAATTGCCGCAAACGCAAGCCCAATCTGCCAAAATACGAGCAGAATTTGGGCTCCAACACAACGCATTTTGCTGCGGACAGAAGAGGCAAGTTATTCCCGAAAACAGTTCAAGCCCTTTCCTTTTGGCGGCCAAGACTCATTTCTGTTTAGATGACCCCAAACCCCTTTTAGCAGGAGCGTCAAGCTGTCTTACCCCTAAGGCTTAGCGCGCAGAAACGGCGCGGTCCCCTGGGAAGCAAGCAAATTGATTCTTGATTCGAGGAAACTGGTATCAATAGTACACTTTGAGATTTGCTTCGAAATCTGGGCTTTTCTTTTTTTGGTTTTGGCAAACCCTTAATTTTGAGTAAAAAACCCTTATTCTTTTTTAGCACGTTAAAACACCCAAATCCCGAACGAACTGACCTGACCCATGAAATTTGGCACAGCTTAGAGGAAGAATCATATAACAAGAATAGAGTCATATGTAGTGGCTTCACATTGCCGGTCACTCGCGTTGTCGTCTATGGCCGGCTTTTTTTTCTGCGTGACCTGTCCGAGGCACGGGGTGGTTTGGAGCAAGTCCGCGGAGACGGCGGACATGTGGGATTCCGGCGCCTCACTGGTGCTTTGCCAAAGGGGCTAGCTCGGGGGATCGAGAAGCCGCGCACTTTGCTTGGCTTGTACGGAAATCCATGGAAGGAACAGGACTTTGCGCAAATGCGCGCTTCTTTGCAGGTGAGCAAGAAATGCGAACGGGAATGAGTGCGCGATGTGCAAAGACATGCGCGGGCATAGGCAACTAGATGTGCATGTATTTGCGTGAGGCAGGGTTGCCCGACAAATCTAATTACCTTTCATGTGGGCCGGTTGGCACTTTCACAAGGCCCTCGTTGCCTCTTTCATTGTTTCCATTTGAAAGTGGACCGGCTGCAGCTTTCCTGCTTGCAGCATGCCCACTCCCAGAAAAAAGTTTGCGGGCACCACTGGGCGGCCAAGTTTTGTGTATACACGTGCTGGTTGAGATCTCTTGCGTCTGAATTGGCGTTGAAGTGCTGAAACCAACAACACATACCACCAGATGTTACCAGAGGGTGCTTTCTCTTCCTGGCCGGCCCGGGAGAGAGAAGAAAAAAACCGCCGCAGGCGGAACCGCGGGGGGATCGGACGTGACTGAAGCGGCGGTAAGGAGGACTTCTGCAACGAAGCGCTGTCCTTCTTCCTGGCTGGCACTGGCCTGCAGGAGGGGATCTTTGGACGAGTGCCGCCCTCGGAATCCCTTGTCTTTGGGCCCTTGAAAAAAAGTGGCAGCCCTTTTCCGTGCTGCGTGTTTGAGAAGACGTCGTCTGAATCCTTGAGCCAACCAATTTGGTTTACGGGGTGTCAGTTTGCTCACGTATCTTTTTGGGAGCTGGTTGATTGGGACGGTTGGGATGGGCTTGGTGGGGATGGCCGGGATGGTCGGGATGCTCTGCCAAACGTCGGCCGCAACAATGTGGGCTGTTGGCAGAACGTCGGCCAAGCTTCACACATCTTTCGCGCGAGTTTCACACCTCGGACGAAGTTCACATTCTCGGCCGAGTTTTTTTCTTTACATCAGTCGCCTCGAATTTCATTTCCTCAGTCTCCGACCTTGGGGCTGCCAAGCGCCGCCACCCCCCCCCTCCCCCCGAGCCTGTGGTGATCCCCCACCAGCCGCCGCAGGAGCTCTACATCCAGAGCGAGCTCATGACGCCGAGCTATTGGAAGGCGCTGGCCAAGATCTCCAGCTTTGCCCGCCAGGCGAGTTGAGATTTTGGGGCCCGCTTTTCCAGGGAAGAAACTGGTTTTTGGCGCTTGGGCGCTTGTGCCACAGCTCAGTTTTTCGAACTTGCCGAGCCTCGCTTAGACCATATATTTGTGCAGTGTGCCTAAGTTGAGCCCCTGGCGTCGAAGGTTTTCCCTTCCCCCGACTGGGCAACTAAGTGCGCAGAGCGTGTCCGATCTGGCTGCCGAATTGTGATAACCTGGGGAGAGCTTACAGGGACATTTGTCCAAATTTGAGTGCCTCCGCCTCAAACCGCTTGTGAGCGTGGCTCTTCTTTTCGTGTTGTTCCACTTGTTTTGCAGGTTTGTCGGGTGCACGCAGCTCATTTCGCGCATGGGACCCCAATATTTCTGCACGCCAAGGCGGCGGACCAGGGAGTCAAACCTGAGAACCAGGGGGACTAGTGCTTTGTCTGACGTCGCGAAGAAAGGAATGCGGATGTTTGCATTGGAGGCTTGGCTTGCTTTTCCCGCAGCTCACGGAGGGGACATTTTTGGGGTGCGGGTTTTCCCGGGCCAGATTCCGGCTGGGTGGTTTTCCTGCGGTCACACTGCGGCGTGTCTTGCCACCTCTTTGGACTTGCCCGTTTGAAATTCCGAGTTCAGAAGCTTCGAGGGGCCATGGACGGAAAGCAATGCCAGCTTTCGGTCCCTAACAGAGCCCCCCCCCCCCCCGGACCTGACCGGCTTTTCTTCCATACCCATGCCAGGCCATGGTGCATTTGACTCTGTGTTATAACTCGGTTTATTCTGCGGTGCGAAAGTAGTCATCATTCCAACCCGTATTGATCACTCGTTGTCCCCCTTACCCACGAAAAAACTTGCTGGTGTTCAGTAAAGAACATGCTGCCATCTCCCAACTCACCCTTTTCACATGGAGCCTGACGTTCGGGATTCGGTCCCTTAAAAAGGAAACTGGTCCAAACCCGGACACCCCCCCCCTTCTACGCCAGGTTCCATGTGAAAAGGGTGGGAGGATACCGACTCCTTCTGGGCCAACTCTCGCCGAGTGGTCAGCTTTGAGGAGGCAGCGCTGCTTCGGGATGCCCACCTCTTGGACCTCGGTGCCGTGTACGGCGCTGCGGCGCTGGCCGCACGCCGGAAAAGCAGACGGAAGTCAGGGTGACCTGTGTTTTTTCTTTCTTGGTGGGTTCAAACGTCACCTATGAGGCCCTTGCAAGCCGAGTTTCTATGGGGTGGGGGGAGGTGTGGGGGGGGGGGGACGGTCAATTGTCACGCCCTTTCAAAATTGTAACGGTGTAACAATGAAAGGCTTCCCGCAGTCAAAATTGAGTGTATACACCTGCGTGAGTCTCCCCGTGTAGGATTCACACCGAAAAGGTCTTGAACTTTAAGAAGGGCAGCTTTTGTTTTTTCGCCAGCAGCGCAGCGTCATGACAGTGCGACCACTTTATTTGGGCACCGCAACTTTCTGGAATTGTTCCATGTTAGCAGAAACATGCCCAACAATGGACCCGCACTATCCCACTTTGCCAGAGTTCCCTGCATGTTCGCGCGTCAGACATACTTATTCTGTGGCAGTTATCTCCGGGTCTCACACACGCCCCGCTCGGCTTACCAGCCAGAACCTCCATTGAACACTCGTGGAAGCCATGTCCGTGCGTTTGTTTGTATTTGATGTTGTTCGCTTGTTTGGCATTTGATATCTGAGAGGACTTCCAGAGAGAGAGAGAGAGAGAGAGAGAGAGAGAGAGAGAGACAGAGACAGAGAGCGAGAGAGAGAGAGAGAGAAAAAAAATAATAAACAAATAGCAAGTTGGCTTTAGGCAGGCCGCGAACGTTCACATGAATCATTGCGCAGTCGCTGGCGTGAGGAAACGACCAAAAGACGGGGCAATTGAGACCTGCTGTTTTGAAGCCCTCCCACACTTTTGCATTCCGCCAAACCATTCGAGTGAGCCACGAGGGCCTGGTGCTTGTCCCAGGACGCGTCGGAGCACCGGGCTTTGTTCTGGCTCCGCTCCTTGGTGGAAGCGGTGGAAGGAGAGCGCTTTGGACATGACGCACATGGCCCTCCCCCAGGCGATTTATGGAAGCTCCCACCCCGAAACGGGAGACTTGGTTCCATTTACGGCCTGGGAGCTTCCACGTTTCTGAGGGAGATGCAGATGTTCGCGGAGCCTCATTATGGACCCTTTTTGGGTTTTGATCAGTATTTCCGAGGTTGACAAGGTGAGGGAACGCGATTTTTGAGACCCTTGCCCCTGGATTCAGTCCTCTCCCCCCCCCGGTCCTGCGGGCCCCCCCGTGTCTTATGTTCGGCCAAAAGGACTGCAATAGGTAGAGAGGAGGAACTGGGGGCTTTGGCCCAGGATTGCAACCTGTGGGACTACAAAGCCAGAAGTATTGGCACAAGCTTTGAGACTATTTTGAATTGCAGTTGCTTGGGTTGTCTGCGGGGCGGCGAGGCAAGAAGGAGACGATAAAACGAGAGGGTCTTTTGGGGAGTGCCAAGGGGGATTTGGGGGGGGCGGGGTTCATTTTGCCAAGCCTTGTGGACGCCTTTAAAGTACGGGGCGTCTTTAACCACCGGGGATTTATGGAACAGATGCCTGCCAGCCGAGCTTGTTAGAGGGGGCTTGGAAATCCCGTGGCTAGGGCCAAACTCCAATCGTGCGTTGGTTGCAAAACAGGTTTGACACCTTCTCGCAATCACAGGGCTTCGCTGTTTCGACGGCTGTCGCAAGCATTGCCCTCAAAAAACAAGAAGTCCAGAACCAGGCTAGTTGCTGCTCTCTCTGCAAGTGCTGGTTCGGAGAATTGCTTGGCCATCCCGCGTTAGTACTCAACAATGAACCTTATGTAGTACTGAGGCCAAACAAGGTCGAGCATGTGGCAGTGGGTCAAAAATAAGCACCAAGAAAGGAAACCTGACAAATGGAAACATGGACCAACACCTGATTCCTGGTGGTTCATTTTTGACCTATACCCATGAGGCTACCCATGTGGTAGGGTCGGACGCCCCCCTTTTCCCCTTTTCTCCTGGACGTTTGCCTGAGGCAACCCCAGCGGTGAGGTGCAGCGCGTGCCTCTGCACCACAAAGAGTCGTCCAAAGCCGACCTTTGGACTTCCCCAGAATTAGCTCCCCCCTTTTTTTGTTTTCTTCTTTTTTCCCGGAAGCATTGCGAAGGGTTCTTCTTCTAAAAGCGGCTGCCAACTTCACCTGCCAACTTCTCATGCCAACTTGTCGAGAGTTACTTCACCTGCCAACTTCTCATGCCAACTTGTCGAGAGTTACTTCACCTGCCAACTTCTCATGCCAACTTGTCGAGAGTTACTTCACCTGCCTACTTCTCATGCCAACTTGTCGAGAGTTACTTCACCTGCCTACTTCTCATGTCAACTTTTTGAGAGTTACTTCACCTGCCAACTTCTCATGTCAACTTTTCGGCTGTTATCTCATTCTACTAAAAGCACAAGCTAATTTGTCGGGTGTTACTTCACTATCCTAAAAACACAAGCTAACTTTTCTGTTCTACCTTCACATCTCGACTCTTAATTCTTCTTCTTTTTATGGCGGGGGTAGGCCCGACGGGAGCTTACGAAACGCACCCCTCTGCGGAGATCGTGCGTGTCGAAGCGCTCTCGCTGTGGCGCCGTGCGAATTTGTCTTGAGCGCGGCGAACCCTCTGCGGAGATCGTGCGTGTCGAAGCGCTCTCGCTGTGGCGCCGTGCGAATTTGTCTTGACCCGCGAACCCTCTGCGGAGATCGTGCGTGTCGAAGCGCTCTCGCTGTGGCGCCGTGCGAATTTGTCTTGACCTTGGCGAACCCTCTGCGGAGATCGTGCGTGTCGAAGCGCTCTCGCTGTGGCGCCGTGCGAATTTGTCTTGACCTTGGCGAACCCTCTGCGGAGATCGTGCGTGTCGAAGCGCTCTCGCTGTGGCGCCGTGCGAATTTGTCTTGACCGGCGAACCCTCTGCGGAGATCGTGCGTGTCGAAGCGCTCTCGCTGTGGCGCCGTGCGAATTTGTCTTGAGCCCGATGAACCCTCTGCGGGGATCGTGCGTGTCGGATCGCTCTCGCTGTGGCGCCGTGCGCATCTGTCTTGAGCCCGATGAACCCTCTGCGGAGATCGTGCGTGTCGAAGCGCTCTCGCTGTGGCGCCGTGCGATTTTCTTGCTCGCGAAACGGCTTTTGGAAGTTGTCTCGTGGTGTGCGCGCCTGCTTTCGCAATCCCGCGGTCCCGGGTTCGATTCCCCCCTGGTCCGCGGCAGCTCCGGCTTGAAAATCGCAGCTTTTAAGTACAAACGTAGTACGCGGAGCGTGCTCCTGCAGCTCCGGCTGGAAAATCGCAACTTTTAAGTACAGACGTAGTACGCGGAGGCTGCTGCAGCTCCGGCTGGAAAATCGCACTTTTTAAGTACAGACGTAGTACGCGGAGCGTGCTCCCGCAGCTCCGGCTGGAAAATCGCAACTTTTAGATACAAATGGCTGGAAAATCGCAACTGTAAATTGCAAATGTAGCACGCGGAGCGCCTCCGCCGCTCCAGCTTTTTGAGGGTTAATTACTTCACCTGCCAGTTTCTCATGCCGAAAGAATTACTTCACCTGCCAGCTTCTCATGCCACCTTTTCGAGAGTTACTTCACCTGCCAACTTCTCGTGCCAACTTTTCGAGGAGTTACTTCACCTGCGAGCTTATCATGCCAACTTTTCGAGAGTTACTACACCTGCGAGCTTCTCATGCCAACTTTTCGAGAATTACTTTACCTGCCAACTTCTCATGCCAACTTTTCGAGAAATACTTTACCTGCCAACCTGCCAACTTTTCGAGAATTACTTCACCTGCCAACTTCTCATGCCAACTTTTCGAGAAATACTTTATCTGCCAACCTCTCGTGGCAACTTTTCGAAAAATTACTTCACCTGCCAGCTTCTCATGCCAACTTTTCGAGAGGTACTTCACCTGCCAACATCGCCTGCCAACTTTTCGAGAGTTACTTCGCCTGCCAACTTCTCGCGCCAACTTTTCGAGAATTACTTCGCCTGCCAACTTCTCATGCTAAGAAAGTTACTTCACCTGCCGGCTTCTCACGCCAACTTTTCGAGAGTTACTTCACGCGCCATCTTCTCGTGCCTTACTTCACCTGCCAGCTTCTCACGCCAACTTTTCGAGAGCCTGCCAACTTCTCATGCCAACTCTTTGAGAGTTATTTCACCTGCCAACTTCTCATGCCAACTTTTCTCACTTCGCCTGCCAACTTCTCATGTCAACTTTGCGAGAATTACTTCACCCGCCAACTTTGCCAGCCAACTATTCGAGAGTTACTTAACCTGCCAGCTTCTCATGCCAACTTTTTGAGAATTGCTTCGCCTGCCAACTCCTCATGCTAACTTGGCGAGAGTTACCTCACCTGCATCAACTTGCCTCTATGCTTCCGGGCCACTCGTCGTCTAGTTTCTTTTTGTTTTTAGGGGGGGTCCCTTTGTTTGGAACCGGTGTTTGTTTTTTTTTTACTAGCCCCGGCTCGGGGCTTACCCCGGCTCGGAGACTGGTTGGTTGGTTGGTTGGTTGGTTAGTTGGTTGGTTGGTTGGTTGGTTGGTTGGTTGGTTGGTCAGCTGGGCGGCCGCATCCCCAGCATCCCCAGCATTCCCGGCCCAATCCTAGCCCGAAAGCCACGGCTAAACCAGCCGGACATCTAGCACGAATCAGCCCCAACCACCCAACCGCATCCTGCATATCGGCCCTTTGCCGAGGCTAAATGAACCCCAAACAAACCCAAGACCCGCCCGCATTAATATCTCAGCAAGCCCAACACTCACCCCAAACCAGCCCCGATCAACCCTGAACTGCCAAAGCCAATAGGCAGCTGAGGCCAGTAATGCTGGCGATGTGGCCGGCTATCCCGAGCATCAAGTCATGCCCAATACGCAGCCGTGACAAGAAACCGGTAATGCTGGCGATGCGGCCACCAAACACCCATCAATTTCCCCAATTTACCCTCCCACCAAACAAGTTGAGCAATTTATGGTTGTGTTCATTGAAACTGCCACTTTTGCCAACAAAAAGTTGATCAACTTTAAGTAACTAGCATGGATTCCCCTTTCAAACAGTGATTAACATGGAACCTGACAGGGACTCGGCCCCTTTAAAAGGGAAATGGTCTTCCAGGAGACCTCCCTGTCAGATTCCATGTTAATCGGTGGGGGGGCAATGGCTTTCAGTTGAAACTGCCACTTTCGAAAAGGGAACTGGAGACACAGGCTGAGGGCCTCGTGGCCTCGTGACTCTGGCAAGGTCCCTTCTGAGCGATGGCCGGTAGCTTGTGCCCAGAGCTTTGGCGCGAGCAAGTTGCTGGCTTCAGCCGTTGCCCGGTTCACACCCCTTGCGTTTCACTGCAGTTCACGGCGCATTGAAGTCGTACATTCCGAAGTCCTACGTTCCTTGAACCGAATGAGATCTGAACTGTCCCTGTAGATCCAGCAGCGCAACCCGACTGGGGTCTTTGGATGATGCTGGGACGACGGCATGATCCAACAAAAGCAAAACAACTACAAACATGTGAAGCATGTGGCAAATTGGCGTAAATCCGGAATGACCTTTGGAAATACAGTACATCAAACCATGCACCTTCATGCAAAATACAAAAGCGACGGTGAATCAAGTGACAACTCCCCAACTCGTAACCGCGAGAGAGTCTATTCGCACGTTCATGCTTCCATAACTGCGAGTCCCCACGTACGGCTGCGAACGTCCCGAACATCCAAAAGCAGATCCCCAATCAGGGTTGCTCTGCCAAAAGAGCAACTTGCAAATCAACTCAGCATGGTCCCAGAAAGAAAGGCGACCACCTTTTGGGACCACTAAGTTATGGACCAAAACTCAGTTGCCCAAGACCTGGAAATATATAAGCTTAACCTTTCAAGGACTCACTACTAAAATTGGACCAAAAAGGGAAAAACCAAAAGGTCAACTAGTTTGGAATCCACCGCAAAAATATCAATGTCGTTTTTTGCCTGGTGAGTGGAAAACAAAGGGGGTTGAGGTGTTTTTTTTACAAGCCCCGGCTTTTTACTAGCCCCGGCTCGGCACAGGGCCTCCCTCCAAAGAGGTTGGGCTGGGGGTTGGTGTTTGGTTCCTTGTTCATTGGTGGGAGGGTAAATTGATCAACTGTTTGAACGTGGAAATCCCTTGGTGCTTCCTCCAAAACGGTAGCTCAAGGCGCAGCTCAGCGTGGGAGAGGCACTGGAGCTGCCGGATCGCGCCTGGGCGAGGTCCGAGTCCGTATGACTCACGCCTTTCCATCGGGACCCTGCGTGGACGAGAGCAAAACCCAATTCCCAGGATATTCGGTGGGGATCCCTGAATATCCTTTGGATGTCTTGCCATTCTGGGATTTTTCAGGTGATTTGAGATTTTTCAGGGTGTGTTGAAATCATGGGTGGGCGGAAGTTTCCAATGATGCCCGCAGGAACGAACAAAGATCAGTATATGTACATGTGAATGGCACTGCGGGACATAACACCTCAGTTGGTTTGTTGGTCCCCCCTCCCTCTTGTGAGTCTCCAAGTTCCTGCTGAGCAGCCACCCCTGCTACCCTCGCCAAGATGGGTTACACTCACAGAAATACAAGTGCATGCAGGTCTTGCGCATCCAATTTCCCCTGCCGGCAATGAATGATTGGGGCTGTGACGAGAGGTCGGGTGTGTGTGTGTGTGTGTGTTTCTGGAGTCCCCAGGCCGGTGGCATTCTGGTTCCCGGTGGTTCTCCACTCGTTGAGCAACCCATTCTACTGGATGTTGCCTTTGGTGCTGGCCCCTGGTGTCAACTCACGGGCCGCTGAGCCGGGGATCGTTGCATGCGTCAAGACCGCAAGTCGCAACTGAGCATGCCCCGAATTTCAAAGGCAGTTCATGTTCTTGTTTTTGAGCTGGAAATGGGTGTGGGTCAAAATCAAACAGGAGGGGTTACGCAGGTTTTGGTCCATGTTTCCACTTACCAGGGTTCCATTTTGGGGTCGGTTTTTTGAGCCACAGCCAAATCAGGCAAGCGAGGAACATTGGCCCTCCGAAGCAAAAAGAACAGAACACGCAAGCATCACCAAACAGATGACCAGCAACGGGCAGGCCAGTGCCAATCCGAAGAGGAGGAGAGCTGAAGAAGGCTGTAGGGATGAATGCACCCTTTGTGCTTTGTGCTTTGAAGTTTACTACCATTCTTGGACCATGCAACCCAACGGAAGAGTCTTTCAACCTGCGCCATCAGATCCTTGGTTTCAACCCGCAGGTCTCACCTAGGGCAAAATCAGGTGATTCTTGAGCGGAGGCTTTCTTTGGCAAGTCTAGGGGCTGAGTCCTTGTCCATTCTTTTCAGCCATCGTTTTTTTCAACAAACCAGCAATTCTTCCAGAGTTTTTTGTGGTTTCTAGAAAGAAGGATCCCTGGAAAGAATGGGGAAGTGACCCCTGGAATAAGGTCTTCTGGAGAGGCGCTGGCACCTTGCGCCGCTGGAGCTGGCGTGCCTCCGCTTGCAACGGAGGTTGGGGGGTGCTGGCGAGACATGGGCCTTCGGTGGGCCCAGAGGAGACATGGGGCAAATCGATACGCTCTCCACGTGGGGAGAGCGGCTCCACGTGGGGAAAGCGGCGACGCAGGCACTGGACGTGGCATGAGTTGAAATTTGGGCAGCTGATAGTGTGGCATTCTGTCAAGCAGGCCCGTTGGACTACCAAGCGGGCCATAGATCTGGCTTTCTTAGACGACCGGAGCCATAGATGCTGTGATCCCTCAGCATGAGCACGAAGAGTTCCTTGGCCATGCCATGCTGCCACAGACCGCATGACTTACACGGAGGGCCATACGCAAATAGAAGAAAAGCATCACGCCACACGCAGTTGATTCTCAACGGCAGGTAATTTTTCATGTTTCGCGTCGGCCGCTTTTCCCGGCGATCTTGGGTCCCGGAGCCTTGCAAGGGGCAAGGGGCGACGGTCGTTGAATTCTTTGAGGCAAATGAGACGAGCCATTGCACGAGAAGCCCAGGCATGGGTGGCCCTTTTGGTTGTTTTGCTGGGAAATAGATGGCCCTGGTTGAGCTGGTTACACATCGATTTTTACCAAAGCGAAACCTATGATCCCAGGCGTGCGGGCAGTTGGGGAAGTAGTTCAGATGTTCATTTAGTCGCGCCTCAAGTGTTTGGTTTGAAGTCGCCATGTCTCGGCGAGGTTGAAGGGTCGATGAACCACGTTTGTTCAAAGGGATTCAGGTCTGCTTCGACCTTAAGAGTTTCATTGGCCCAGCTGGCAAGCCCATTGGTGAGCAAGTCGTGTTTTGCCGATTTGGCCGGCTGTCGCGCATCAATCATTGCCAGGAAGTCAAACTTTGGGGGAAAAAAGAAACGCTGCATGCAGCTTGTAAGTTGCATGCAATTTGTAAGCAATTGCTAATATGAAGCTAAAGCTTGCAAAAGTTAATTCCACAATGAACGAACCTTGAAGCTTGTCGGAGATCTCGAGATCAGTCGAGCCATGGAACTGCCCTGAATGAGGGCAGTTACTGCTGCTCCCGCCGAGGGCCCCGTACTGGCATAGGCATAGGCTTGGGTTTGAGCTTGATGAGTGAACCGTGTGGCGTGGGAGAAATGAGTGCTACCTTGTTTCGTGTGCGGCAGCCGTAAGTAACGTAAGTCAAGGTGAATTGGTTGTGACTTCAATTTGTGACGACTTCAAGGAATGACATACTGTGGATGGACTAAATCCTGCACCGCTTTGAAACCAAGGGAGTCCACTGTTTGTTGTTGTTTGCAGGGAAATCGATTCATTCCGTTGGGTTTCTTGGGTGGTGTAGGATTTCGTCCATCCACAGTATTGTGGGGTGAGGTTTTTGTGGGCTTCGCAGAGTCGTTTTCTTTCCACCTCATCCCCAGGCCATGCATTGTCAAAGCGGACAGGTTCAACATTCGTGGAATCTTCGGGGGGGCTATGGGGGGGGGCCAAGGATAAGACCTTACTAGGCCTTATTAAGGGCTTAATAAGGGATAGCCCCCCCTCCCCATAGCCACCTCTTGGGGGTCCATGAAACATCCAATTCTCCCGACCTTTCTCGGCTGGCTGAGATGCTGAGGAGCGGGTGCCCCTCTGCAGCGACGGTACGCCAGGAGGCCATTCGATTCGGGGGCTTCTCAAATGGCTATGGGTCAAAACCAAACCCCGTACCCCCAGGGAACATCCCAATCCCCACTAAAATAGACTAAAATGGTGATGCACCTACCCCAAAATGGTACCATTGGTGTTGACCCACGGCCAAATTTGGCCCATGATGGCAGCGGGTTTCCTTTTGACCCCCTCCCCCACAAAAAGAACGAATACACCAGCATAGGTTCCAGATAGCATGGGAGATTACAACAGCACCCGCCACACCACTGAGCAGCACCCTGACTGCACGCCAAACCACCAGCCGCCACCGCACCCTTGGCAGATCAAACAGCACCCTCACCCCCAATGACCACCTGGCTGCGTTGCCAAACACGCACTGCCAGCAAATTGAGCAAACCGAACAGCACCGTGATCAGCACCCTGCATCGCAAAACAAACGCCGCCAGGAAACACCACAGCACCTGAAGCATGCAAACAGCAGAGCCAAGCAAAGGTAGGTGGTGTTTTGCCATCCTTCGGGGCCAAGCACCAGTTGCCACCGCCGCGATTAGCCAGCCACTGCTGCTGATTGCTGATGGTTCGTCTAAGTGTCTTGGGACAAAGACTGCGCAATTGTTTGTCATATGGCCATGAACCCATGACTTTCGATAGTTGGAACCTCCTCAAAAGCGGTTGGTTAACATGAATTTCCACCAAATTCTGTCTACCAACAGGGGCTTTTGGATCCATTAACAGGAGCGGTCCCCTCCCGAAAGCGCAGTTGAGCAGCCGAGGAATCGTTTCCTTGAATGTTTGCCACTTGAATTTCTTGCTTAGCTTCCTGAGCAGCAGCTTACGAGCACATTCGGAGTCTCGAACTTGTATGCAGAGGATTAGATCTGCGGTTGCAAGCCGAAGGTCTTTGCTCATGGCTGGGTCAAACCGAGGAAACAGCTTGCTGCACCTGTACGACTTTTGCGGGTGCTGAGTGGATGATTGCCCTTCTGTGCACTGTGCACCTATGACATTCCGTGGTGATTGCTGACTCTCAATCAGATTTGGGAACGGATGAAATCATTTTCCGACTTTGAGCTGGATTCAGTTTGCTGCATAATTCTACCATGAACATGTTCCTCAAAGCCAAAGTGCGCTGGGCTTTCACCCACTCAGCAGATTTGACATCCGCTCTCGCTAGCATCTATTAAAACTCCTGTTGGCCATTTGAGCAGGTGGTTCTACTACTACAGTAGAACCAGAAGTCACGTTTTGGGCGCTTCTCAGTGTTGGATGTCATATATTTGGTGTATGGACGACGTGGGGACTTCTGGACTGCTGATTCCGAGATTCCGCATCCATGGCGCATTTCCTTCCGGCACCCGTTTTCCTCTTGCCTTTGGGTTCACCAAAGTGGCTGACCCACGGTCATCCAAAAAGGGGCCCAACCACCGAATGCGTTTCCCACCCGCGCGTGTTATTTTGAACCATGTTGGATCATTTCCCAAGGGTGTAATCCCAACGTGTACTCAGACTTAGGTGACCTCCTCCGAGCGGCTTTCCCTGACGCTGCGGCCATTCGAAGTTCACGCCTACGCCGCCGCCTTGGCGGCGTCAAACGCCAAGTTTTTGGTTTTGGCCAGTCCACTCAGGTACCTGGAGTCTCCATGACCCTTTACAAATGGGTTAATGACCCCATTATTTAGGGTAATGACCCCATTTTTGAGGGTCATGGGGACTTCAGGTAGATGAGTTCCTGACTCGGCAGGTGTTTGCTTCGACGGTCGCTTCCGCATGTTTATGTCATGATCGCTGGGTGTGACGGAGTGGACTCACCAGTCAGTGCCCCAAAATGAGGTTATTTGGATATAGGGGAACCCTGAAAATGGAAGGTGTGCATTGGGTTTTCCTTCAAAGCCATCCAAGACGGGGTACTCCCCCCCCACCCCAAAAAAAAAAGACACAAACAGATTGTCATGCCAAAGGGTTGCAAGGGAATGGCCCGCTTGCCCCGGCCTGTTTCAATTCACATTTGGGGCACGAGCCCAGGTGGTATCCTGACGGCGGCTGGCCGGTTTGATCTCTGAGGATGCGGATGAGCAGTGCAGAATGCATGCCGTGCCTGAGTCCTTTCTTCGCCTTCCATAGGTGGTAAAGCGTTAGAGCAGCTGTGATGCTAGAGAGGGGCCCAAAGTGTGTCTGCTCAGGAGTGCGACGGCATGGCGTGCTTGCCCTGTTCTTTGTTTCCATACATGCATGACGTATGGCACCGCGTATCTATGCATTCCATCATGATGGAACGCTGGTGATTGGCAATTATTGCTTGCTGTTTTGATGTTGTTCATGTCTTCCACAGAAAGTGGCATAGTTTGCAAAGAAGTATGGAGTTGGACATGTTGGGCGTTTCAAAATCGGACACGTGCACGTGCGTACAACAGCAACTTGCGTACAACAGCAACTTGCGTACAGACATGTACGAGCTGTTCAAAGTTTTGCAACAGCAGTTTGTGCCAATCTGAGTCGCACCCGCAATTGGCAATTGGGCGGGAAGGCCGGGTTGCTTGTGGCAGAGAGTTCGAAACGTGACAACGAAGCAACAGGAGCCCAGCAAATTCTCGAAATATTGGCTTGAGGGTTTGGAGTAGCATATTCATCCAAAGGCATACCGCGTTTATGGATGACAGCATTCACAAATCATCATACGGCTATGCATTTGCGTGCACGTGCCTCACCCCAACCATGCGGCGTATGTTCCGCCGTGCCGCGCAGGACCCAGGACGAAGACGTCACCCTCCTGCACCTGAAGTCGGCTCGGCAGGACGCGCAAAGCTCGCGTGACGGTGAGAGCTGCGCTCAAAGCCAGGACCTGTTTCGTTGCAAAATTTGGAGTGCTTGGGATGTGTGGCGCCATGGCTCGTTCCTTGAGTATGGGGCATGAGCTATGGGCGTATTGCCTGAAGGCATGCCCCAAACTGGAGAACATAGAAAGGCTCATGGGGCATCCTTGTGTCACTTTTCTGCGGAAAGCCTGCCAAATGCAGCTCAGCAAATTCTTGTTTGGTCCAGAACGCCTACCGGGGCCTCTGGGTTGGCCTGAGACAACAAAATTCAATGCCTTTGAGTTCATCAAACCCTCTACGCATCTAGCAAGTACCCTCCCACCCTTTGTTTCATGGAGCTGGCTTGGATCATTTTCCTTCTAACGGGACCGGGTCCCGAAAGTCAGGTTCCACGCGCAAAGGGTGGGGAGGTACTCCTCTACCAAGGCCGGGCCAAAAGAAATCAGCGATTCGGCTGAGAGGGGCTTTTCCCCCACGCGCTCGGCATTGGACCTGAAAAGTTGCGATTCATTTGTGTTGTTCAGTGCTGCTGGGCTTTCAGGGAGCCCTTTGGCCCTTCACCGGGAACCCACCGAAAACCCGAAGAACGGGGCCGCTGAACTTGGATCTACTGGCGCAAAGCCACGAGAAACCCGACCGATCTCCACCGGGCCCGCGTGTGCACATGTGTGCACACTCGAAGTGGACCGTCCTGAGCACACCCAAGGAAATATAAATCCTTTAGCTCGATGAGGCAGGCCGATGCGGCCCAATGCGGCCCAATGCGGCCCATGCTCCAACGTGTGTTCTAGTATCTGGAAAGATCACTAAAGCCGGCGAGACACTTGAGTGGGGCACACAAGCTTTTTGCGCTGCTCATGCCACGTGCCCGCTTCATTTGGGGACGTAGCTTAGACAAGGCGCAGCGGCCTTGCCATCACCAAAGGCTCCGATCCGAAGACGGGGGACCAGGGAGGGAGCCCAAATAAGCCCCAAATAAGGCCTTATTAAGGGCTTAATAAGGGCTTATTTGGGCTCCCTCCCCCTCCCCCTCCCCCCCAGCCCCCATGATCAGCCCAAATGACACCGGATCGTAGCAGTTTGTGTCTCATGCACTATGCCAACAAGCCAGAACTCCGCACAGGTGGTCAATGGAACCTACCTCATGTGTCACAACGGGGGGCGTATTTTTTGGCATTGGTCGGCGAGAATCAAGGGAGACGTGTCATTCAGCACAGAAGCTAGGCACACACACATGCACAGATTGGAGGGTCCCTAACCCGGTTTCACCCACGTTCACGTGGTTAGGGACCCTACAAACCAACATTTCAAGGCTTGAGGGAAGACCTACCTTCGGTTACAGGTCCCTGTGGTGAGCAAAGTTGGTTACAGGACCCTGGTACCCCTTAAAGGGTGCTGTTCTTGACCGCTATTGGGTTGGATGATGTTGGATGGATCTTTAGACTGTAACTTGTTGGTTGAAATCAAGTTGGGTTTTCCGTAAAACCTACAAAAAGTTCAAAAACAATTGCAAAGGGGTCATCAGCAACCAAGTGTTGGACCAAAGAGTTTTGCTCGTTTGAATCTTCCAAAAGCTTTGGAGTTGAGATTCCCCCTCCTTGGCTGTTTTTTTTTTGGGGGGGAAGCCACCCCGAACCCCCTCCCCGAAAACAAGCATAAAACAAGCTGTGTCTTTTTGGTAAGCCACCCCCCCCCCCCAAAAAAAAAAAAAAAAACAAACAACAAAAAAACAAAACAAAAACACAACAACCAAAAACACAACAAAAAAAAACACAATCCCCCCCCCCCCCAAAGAAGGGGGGAAGCCGCACCGAAGCCATGGCCTCGGTGCCGGAGCTCATGGCGGAGGCCCGCGCCGAGCAGGCGCGTCTCCAGCGGGGCAACCGAGGCTTCTGTTCACATCGAAAATGGACAATGGCGCAGACCCCCTAAACCCTAAACCCTAAACCCAAACATGAAACAGAAGCCCAGAAGGAAGTCAACCGAGGATCTTACTATATAGAAAGTATACGAATGGATAGAGATTTGTGTTCGATTTGTTGTTGACAACCGTTGGCAACCATGGCTTTGTTTGGTTTTCCGAGCACTGCTCGGACATCCCTCCAAACAGCAGACTGCTGTTGGCACACCCGCTTGGAAGACATCCCCCGCTGTTGAGCACTCAGGTTTGGCAACCTTGAAAGCCAGTAAAGGGTTGTTGTTACTAGGGGGTTGCCAGGGGACGATGTTTCTAAGGGGTTGCACAATATTTCAAGGGCGCTGGTTGCCCTTGAAGATAGGATATCATGTCCCTGGCGGATAAAGGTCAAACACTTTCTCAGTTGCTTGGATATGACCTACTTGTGCGAGTTGAACATCCAAATAATGCTACCACCAAACATGGGGGAGGATGTTCCCCTCCCAAATAGCAAGCAACGCCCCTGTCATACGCATGTGTCGGAGTCAGACTGATGGGTGCCGGGGCCTATTCAGCACTTTTTTTTTCAGCCTAGACGCTACCGCTTTGCAGAGCGTGTCATGTGTTTGCCAGTGTTGTGGGATCAAGGGGTTTATCCCCACTTCTGTGATGCAAGGAAATCCCCTTGTTGTATGTGGGAGGTTGGTCTTTGGGAGAACCTTTTTGTTGTATCACTGAAGTGGTCATTTCCCACGGCCATGGTTTGCTCCTATAGGCTCCTTATAGGCTAGGCTCCTTATAGGCTCCTTATAGGCTCCTTATAGGTTCCTTATAGGTTCCTTATAGGTTCCTTATAGGCTCCTTATAGGTTCCTTATAGGTTCCTTATAGGTTCCTTATAGGTTCCTTATAGGTTCCTTACGTTCCTTGAAGACCCCCTCGCGCCCAATGCCCTTGATCTGCGGAAGTGCGGAAGCTGCAGCTCCATGTCTTTGTTCAATTCTCGGTTTGAGGCGCTTTGGAGCTCTCTCGCATGGGAAACAAGTGCTGCAATGAAGGGCCTGTGCTTGAAGAGGAACGTATAAGGAACCTATAAGGAACCTATAAGGAACCTATAAGGAACCTATAAGGAACCTATAAGGAACCTATAAGGAACCTATAAGGAACCTATAAGGAACCTATAAGGAACCTATAAGGAACCTATAATGAGCCTATAAGGAGCCTATAAGGAGCCTATAAGGAACCTATAAGGAACCTATAAGGAACCTATAAGGAACCCTTTTATTTCTTTCAAGGCGCCTTTTGCCCTTAGGCGCTGATCGCTTCGCAACTGCGGGCGCTCAAGGGTGAGCCGCCGCTAGGCGCCGGAATCGAATCTCCGCAGGTCTACACCCTCTTTCCAGCCAGATTTCTGTAGGGAATGTGGTTCTTTTTTCGAGGGACCCCACAGCAGCTCCAGGATCATGATTGGGAAGGGAGCCTTCTACAACTTGCTTAAACCCAAAGCGAATCGATCTTCTATCCTTTTGGTTTCCGTGAGTTGGTCCATAGTCAAGGTTCCAAAAGGATCACACTGTATTTCTGGGTCCTTTGGGAGACCATCAGACCATCCTCTGGGTCAGGGGTTAAGGCATCCGAATATTCATGGCTCCGCCTCAGATCTTCCACACCTTTGGGCCATCGGGTGCAGCGGTCGTTTCGAAGCGACAGCCATGGCTCTGCCTCGAATGGAACCCATCGCTGGAAATTGAAGATTTTGGCTTTTGGCTCTGAAGGACCTTTGGCCTTGCCCAAAAGCGAATCGACCCGAAATGACTTTTCGACGTTTTTCCCGCGAGGCCTCATATTTAGTCAAGAATCCAAACGCTCAACATGTTTTTTCCGGGTCCTTTGGGCAAGGGAGCTGGGCAACGCTGTTTAGCAATGCCTCTTGGGCTGCTTTTCTGCAAAGGCGGGCTGATGGCCTGAGGATATGTCATGTTTTGTGTGTTTGTTTGTTTGGCCTTGTTGGTTGTTTTTGTTTGTTTATTATGCTTTCATCCGTTTGGGCTTTTCATGTTTCGACATGACCTGATAGGTGACTCACCAAGGTCGCCTTCGAAGCCAGGCCGGGCCAGCGCATGTGCTTTTCTTTTTTTTCTCTATTTTTTTTTTCCGGGGGGGGGGGGGGGGTTCGTGTGAGCTATGTGTTTTTTTTGGATTCATGGATGTTTTTTTTGGTTTTCAGCAGCTGTCCATGCAGGTACCCTGTATTGGTGGTTTGGACTGTTGGCCGTGTTTAGCGTCCTTTTCCACGTGAAGCGTGTGACGCAGCCAGGACGCTGCAGCCTCTCATTCTTCACATGCAAAGCAAAGGTGAGAATAATTATGTTGTCCTTACCCCCGTTGTTCCTAGGTGGCTTTGTAATGTCATTGGAAATGTGGCATGAGATCCATTTAGAGAAAGCCCGCATGCAGATGCTTGCCCAGACCCTCCGACCGTGAATCCTTCTTTTCTTCCCTTTTTGGGCAGGGGTTTCCCTTCAGCATCGACCTCCGGCAGTGCCTCTTCGTGTCCTTTGGTTGGTCGGGATTTCCCTTGAGCACCGGCCGATTCCAAAACTCTCGCATTTTCTTTGGCCGGGGGTTTTCTTGAAACCTCGGCCACCAAAAAGGCAAAGACTAGCCCATTTTGCTGCAAGACACGGTAAACAACCTGAACACGGCATCAACAAGAAGCTGGTTCGGCCTCCACGCTTTTTTGTCGGGCACCGGGCCTGGCCCGTCTCGTTCCCCCCCAAACCAGCAGCTGCCAGCCGCTGGACCCCGAGGTCAGCAGCCGGGGCCTCTGAGCCCCACCAGCTCCTTCTCCCCCAAAGCCCCGGGCTTCGGCGCCGGTCTCGGCGGTCTCGGCGGTCTCGCCGGTCGCGGCTCCGGCGAGCGCGGCGCCGGTGTCGGCCTTTCGGCCAGCCCGAGCCTCGCGGGCCCGCTGCAAGGCCTGGGTTTTGTGGGAGGGGGGGTCTTCAGGTTTTCTTTTGGTGGAAGGAAATGGAGATGACAAGGAGCCGAAGACATGCTCGGCCTTATGTGGCTTATATTTGTTTTTATTGTTTTTCCAAAAAAACTAATAATCAAAGAACAACCTATTTATTTTTTAAACCCCTCACCCATTTTTTTTGGTTGGTGGGACATGGTGAAGGGTGGTGAGGTTGGGGGTGGGGTCCCCAATGCAAGATGGCTCTTAGAGTGGGCCGTCCTTCCCCCTTTTTCTGAATTGCAGTTTGCGTTTCGAGCGGAAGCTTGCAAACAAGTCTAGAGCGCGAACTTGCCCAGTGGTGAGTTGATCAAAGCTGACTGCAGGGTTTTCCCAGCTGGCTTCCCAAGCTAGATGCGACGTCCCGCGGCTTGCCTGGAAGGCATAGAAGCTCGATTTAATGGAAACAGCATCATTTTGACCCCTTCATCGAAACTGCCGGCAGATGACTGCTGAACAGGAGGACGTTTTTGCTGAATGATTATGTGTGGTTTACCATGTCAACTCCGCACTTAGCGCGTTTTGGTAACATGCTCTGGCTGAGATTGAAACAGCCAGCACCATCGGATGTGGAGAAATGCGCAGCATGTGCAGGTGGTATGGCACGGCTCCAAGCTGAGATTGGCTAAGAGGTTCCTTGCTCATGCCTGCCCCGCGTGTCGAAGGGTTTGCACCCGAAAGAATGCCCACGACGGGCCCCATTATGTTGCCATTGTCAAAGTCACCCCTGAAATGAGGTTAAATAAGGGGAGCCACCCCAGCTTCCGACTTTGACAGACCCAGAAACGGAAAACTATCAAAGTAAGACCCTGCCGCACCCTCGGCAACCTTCCCCTCTCGGACTTTAACTTTTTGCCAACCAACATATTTTCCATTAAACCGCAAAAAGTTAAACTGGTAGCAGGGGAGCAGAAAGCAACCGAGTGGTCTTCAGAAGT